AGGAAGGGAGGAAGGGAGGAAGGGAGGAAGGGAGGAAGGGAGGAAGGGAGGAAGGGAGGAAGGGAGGAAGGGAGGAAGGGAGGAGGGAAGGGAGGGAGGAGGGAAGGGTTAAAAAGTTGCTGCAGCATTAGATGTACTTTATCTATCACTCAACTTCATCATCATTAATGCAATTGAAAGTAAGGTTGAATTTAAATTAGAAAAAAGGTATGTAAGCGGGGCAAAAGTAGATCGTAAATGCGGAAAACAGTGCCAAACTTCGAAGCAAAAGCCACATAATCAAAGATCGAGGGCAAGGCATTGTGCCCCGTATGCAAAGCCGTAGATATGTACGGTACGAAACAATGCGAGAGCTGGCGAGCCTAAACACTGCCACTGCATTTGTGATCACGTCTGGCTGTGCGAGAAGATAAATACTTCTTTGATGTGCTATATATGTTATGCTTTTTTTATTAGACACTACCTTCGACCGCCATTATATAAGGGCAAGCTGAAGGCGAATAATATCTTCTTTTATTCCGTCATTTATAGTTCACGGAGCGACACTTTCTATTTAAAAGCTAGGCGTTACACCTCACAAACTCGGCGCCCTTTCGGCCATGGTATATTATGCATGTTGACAGTTTTGACGGAACTAAGATGCTGAAGGAATGACATATCTTTTACTCAGTCTGAACAATTCAATCTACACTTTGTTCATCATATACTTTACGAGGCGATACTTTCTGTTTAAACTTTAGGTGTTTCACCTCACCAACTCGGCGCCCTTTCGGTCATGTTACACAATGCATGTTGACAACCCGTCAAAACTGACACTATCTAATATGAAGCAGCGTATTTGTGTGTGTATAGAGTAAAGCCACAAATGACGTAGTGCTCATTCATTCCTGCTCGATATGATCATTTAATTAAAAAGTGTAAAAGAAGGCGATCATACTACTTACATCTCCCCCTTCCTCTATAACATATATTCAAACCATTCAAAGCCCGAGAATCATGAAGTCGCTTTCATTCACTGTCATCCCTACGATCGTGATGGTATGTCAATCCAACATGTTTGAATCGAAAGCATTACTGACTGTTTCATTCTGATTAGACCTTACTTTTATTGGTCCAAATGTCCTTACAAGCACCTGTGCCAACGACAGGTGGTCTGAAAGTGAATGACTCTCATTCACGTCAAGCTTCTACGAAAAGCGCTATTGGTAAGCCAAGTACTGTTGTACATAACCATGGTAAAGGTGGAAGTGTTCCCGGTCTTATTGCCCACACAAGCGAATTACCTGCTTGCGATAGGTGTAATACAAATCCTTGTAAATGTTTATGAAAGACCTTGTAGGTGTGTACCTATCGATTAAACCCGTTCAAAGTACGAAGATCCATTCTTATAGTCATACGTGATCGACACACATTTAAAGCTATTGCTTTCTATTCAAACCTTACCAAATCATCCTACAATAACCTGCAGGCAGTTTATTGCTATAGAGCTTTTGTAATCTTTGTCTAATCTGGTCATACAAAAACATTTGCACTACAACATTCATTTGAACTTGAACCCGATCTCATTTGAGAAAAAAGTTGCTGCAGCGTTAAATGTAATTTATCGATCACACAATTTGATCATCATTCATGCAATTTGGAAATAAAAATTTGAATTAAGTTTGAAAAAGGTATGTCATACAAGAACATTTGCACTACAACATTCATTTGAACTTGAACATGATCTCATTCGAGAGCAGATTAAGCCATTCGGGAGAGGGAGCTCCATGGGAGACCACGCTTGGCAAGCCACTGTAAAGATGAAAAAGGAGAGGTGTACGTGTCAGTCTCGTCAAATTTCCCGATGGTCAGTAGGTTCGCTGTCTTTCTTTTCTTCGCTATTGCTATTCGTCATCAAGAAAAGAGATATGCTGAAAGCAAGTCATCATCAGCACTGGTGGTAAACTGATTGCAGCATGGCAACAAGGCCAAGTGCATGCAAAAGTCATTCAAACACCAAAAAGAAAAGTAGGCCTTTTCGTAGACAGATGTGGAATTGCTTTGCCCATCAAGAAGAGAAAATTGCATCATCGAGAGCCATCAAAAAAATCAAAGAGAACCATGAAAAACAAAATCACATCGCTTAAAAACCTAGCAAGCCATAAAATCTTTCCCGGGAATCCTTTTACGTTGTTTGATCAGCCCAAATTTTCACACCTGGTCTTCCGAACGCCAATCCTTGTGGGGCGCCGTGTATACAGTAGTTGTTTTTTTTTTTTCTTTTCTTCCGTAATCGCACTTCGTTTAAAGACTTAGTCTATGATCGATCTTTTGCATCCTTTCTTTTGTTCGTAACCGCTTAAACCAAGCCACTTTACGCACTCTTGATCACGCGCGAAATCCATATACGAAAAGAGGGGGAGCGAGTGGCGATGGCGACAAAGAAAGACAAAAGTGAGGTGGTGAAAGGTTGTGTACATCGATGATTGACGATTGCCCTTAATGCATTGGGCTAGACGAAAGGAGTTGAAGAAAAAGGTCGAATACCGTATCTCGCAAAGAAAAAAATTATTCGAATAAATCTTGTTTTACGCTTCTTTCTATTCTGAAAGTTTCAACGATCGAAGGCTATCCACGTTTATACGTCTATCGAATAATTCTTGTTTTCTTACGATGGTGTACACCATGTGGTCTTCTGTACGATATTCGCAGGCTATACCGGGTTGCGTTTCAGCTTGCCCACCTGCATCGACTCCGAACTCACATGTGCATTGACCATGGAAATCGGTCCTTTATTGCATTCGTTTATCGGTTAAAGTTACTGTGTTTAACGCATATCCCTCTAGAATTGCAGTCGTGAATCGTCCAAATAAAAACCCTTCCATAAAGGTATGACCTTTTGGCTGACGTCGAAAGATCCGTCACGGGGTGCTAGCCTATTAAGGTCTAGCAAGGTAAACGTTTTTAAACGTACCATAAATCCAATCCAAATATCGTATTCTTTTTTCTCGTAGCTGACCAAATCCGCCTAAAACACATCCTTGTGTATCGTTACCATAAGAAGCACAGCATCATCCATCCAAACGCGACACTCGCCAGCTTTCAAAGCCCGTCGTGTCTACACTCAAATAACCATAATACCACACACCAAAAATAACCCATAACACATCCCAACTCGATGATGCAAATCTCCAAATGATGAGGCAAAACGATTGCCAACATCTGTTGTACGATGATCTCCAAATCCTTCCGGTGCTCATCACCAAATTTTTGGAGAATCCACCGTCAAAATGACATCATTGATGACTGTTTCGAGCATATCAGCTCTGGCGACGATAGGCAATAGCGAAAAGAAAAAGACGAGAACCCAAACCAGAACAAGATCAACAAAACTGCTACGTACCAATGCATGGAAACCCAATCCACCGATGGATGCAATGTTGAGAAGAGTGCTGATTGAGTGAAGACCAGCGAACTCTTTGTTGAGCTTTTGCATCTTGTCGGAGACCTGTTGGATGTGTGGATGCATCCATGCGGTGAGTTGGGTGGCGGCGAAGATCAAAGCGTCATCCGATATTCAGCATCCATTGTGTTGACGATATCAACGGGATGAGAATGAAAGGAGAGAGGCAATGGTGGCGAGAGGTAGAAGGGTATATGATGGTGGAAAAAAAAGAAAAGGAAAGGAAATGTGTTTGTGTCAGTAATACTGGGTATCATGCAGGCAGGCCGTTGAATGATATGCAGGGCGGTATCCACTCAGTCCCGTATGCATGCGCGCGCGCCCCCCTCAAACGCCGAATGAAGACATGGGCATGCACACGTGACTGCTTTTCCCAATCACAGAGCGAGATTAACCCCGCGACTGGAATTGTGCCGGGCAATACCGCCTCCACTACCATCATAATACTATTCATACTCACACCTGCGTCATCGTATGATTTGCCTTCAGCAGCTTCTTGACGGTGACGTTCATCTTGTAATTTATAACTTGCAGGGCCGATTGCTAAAGCATTGATCAAATTAGCAGCAGCGACTGTAGCCAAAGTGAAAGCTTGATAAACAGTTGCATCAAAGATATCAAAAGGATGTTTGCGTACAACGGCATTGTCCCAAGCCAAAGAGCCAACCAAGAAAGCAGCTGCTAAACCATTGTAAGAGAAATAGGTTGGGAAGAGTTTCTTCATCAAATTGCCAAATTGTTGACGAGGTAATTCGCTATACATGATTGGAGCGCCAACAAAAGTCAAAAATGCTTGAGAACCAAAAGCGGCACCAAATACCAACAAATGAGCACTACGAACGTCGGGCGAAAGTAAGCCCTTGAACATGTCAAGACCGACACGTTGAGCTTCCATGATTGCGAAAGAGAGTTTGAGAAAGTGTTTGTGATGAAGTTATGAGAAGATGATGGTAGTGAGTGTGTAAGAATGAATGCGGATGGAATATATAGACTGTAGGAGTTGATCTGGCAGATAATTAAGTAACTCGATTGATTGACTATATACCTATGTTTTAATGCTGTCTGTCTGTCTGTCTGCCCCTTTGATGATGATTCCATGATGAGAATGCAATGCAACTTTCAGGGTCAAAGTGCACGAACCAATAGGGTAGGCGTCTGGGCCCTGCATTTACGCGCTGAGTACAACTGTATATGCTTACTACGTGTGGAGTGTCTGCACCTAATCAGCATTCATTCATTCATTCAACCACACGTTCGCTGTTAAAGGCAAGCCAATGATGTATTGATACATTGAAACACATTGAACAGTGGTCTTAGTCAGCATTTCCACCATAAACAGCTAACAAAGCATCCCCTACTCCTGATGGTCGTAAAGATCCAACATCCGAAAAGATAAATGTAATCAAATCAGGCTTTGTATAATCAATTTGTGGATTCTTTTCTTCCATGGCTGATGTCATGAGCTTGGCATTGGTGGCTGTGCTTTGCTTATCGATCGTGGGTGTTGATTGCTTTTGTGAATCTGCATTTATTAATTCTTCTTGATCAGGGAATGTGAGAGTAGGTCGGGAAGAAGGAAGATCGAATTGCGATAGCGGGAATATCCGCAAGAATTTGAAACTGATATAAGAAAAGGAAAAGGATTTTAGTAAAATGCAATCTTGAATCAATGCTGATATGGTCACTCACCTCTCTGCTGCTGCGTAAAATGGCTTGCCGTAATACTTGGCAACCAAAGCCAATCCCAAAGTACCCACCGCATTCAAGATACCACCACTTTCACAAACACCTTCCGCACCCACTAAAACAAAGTCGACTTTCTCTCCTACGAAAGCAGCTGCTGAATCACATAACACAGTGGTAGGTATGCCAGCCTGGGTTAATTCATTGTACGTCTTGATTCCCAATCCACCCGGTCTTGATTCTGTGACATAGACATTGATATCCAATCCACGTGCTTGAGCAGCCAACAAAATTTGCATTACCACTCTCGAGTAGGAATGTGTCAAAATGATTGATTTATCACGAATAAAAGGCATTGCCAATTCTGTAATTTTATCACGACAACTTGGTACTGTTTTTTCGGCAAATTCTCTTGCTAGATCAACTAATTTTTTCTTTTGAACGGCAAAATCTGCAGAAGCGTCCCAATTCATCGTAATTACCAACCTGGCAAATAAATCCAATCCGGCCGTTGCGGGTATTGGATTGGGCAGAGATTGTTTCAATCGATCTGAATGTGATCGTAAGAGGGTGATTAGTTCGGATGTGGTATTGCTGGGTACTTGAGTGATCAAATCGCATAATGCAAAGATCGAAGCAATCGGAGGAGGTAGCGAGAACGATGATGCTAATTGAGAATGGTAAGAAGCAACGATGTCGTACCCATTCAGGTTTGCTAGAGGTTGCCTGGCTGATGTGGCTGAATCACTCGATCCATGCAACGGAGATGCTGAGCTAGATGCTATCGCCATGTTGCTCGTCTTGTGATGAGTGAATCGGAGAGATGGTGTTGTAGGACGAGAAGAAATAGACTGCATCTGCAAAATCTTAAATTTATCCGCGTACGCTAAAGTGAACCTTGTTATACCGCGTAGCCTGTCCTGTTATGATCTTAAATTGTGTACAGTTGATATGATTACAATAATGAACAATATTATACATTCGATCTACTCATCCTCTTCTTCTTCATCGTCATCCTCCCCGTCAGCTGCATTAGTGAAATTTGTCTCATCACCTATTTCAGCATCCTCTTCATCCACATCAACCTGGCCTTCTCTTCTCTTTTTCACAGCTCTGAAACTTCTCAACAAAGCATATCGAGCTTTCTCTTCTGGTGTCATCTTTTGTCTTGACTTATAAGGACCTCTCTTCTTTGAAGTACTGGCTTGCTCTTCTGTTTGATCTCCCGGAGCTAATGTTTCATCCTCTTGTTTGATCGTTGTGGTTTCGTTTGCTTGATCATCCTCTTCATTTGATCCTTCTTCGTCTTCCTCTTCATTCTTGTCTTCTGCCTCTTCTTCTTCTTGTTCGTCTTCTTCAGCTACCTTTTCTGCAGCTTTTCCTTGACTTGAAGGAGCGGGACGAGCATTCATCTCATCACAATCCTTTGATGGAAGTAGAATAGTATCTTCTTTTCTCATCCATCCTCTTCCACGTACCCAGACCCAGCCCTTATCTGTTATCAATCCAGTCTTAGATTCTTTCAACGTTGGTGCTTGTCTCCAAAGAGCGGGCTGTGAGACTTGATCATCAGGTGGAACGAGTGCAGCTTCCCTTGCAGCCATATTGACAGCCTGTTTGAACAAGATTCTCCTTCGAGTTGTACTGGGTGCACGACCAATCTTTCTATCCGTTTCCGTAGCAGGTAGAGGCCACAGTTTGTGTTGTTCTGCTTGTGATCTTGAAAGGTCAACTTCATCCTTCAGTATGATTTCAGTTCCAATCAATTTATCCCATGTACCTTTGAACATTAGGTTACCCAATTGCATGTAGGGTGTCTCAGTTTCGAGTCCTGCTATTGAATATTGTTGTGACATTTGAACAAGTCTTTTTGAATCAGGTCCTAGATCTAAGGTTACCAGTTCCTCTTCTTCTTCGTATTCCCAATCTCCCCCTTCACTGTCATCTCCGTCCAAATCCATCACGTCATCTTGCTTGCGGGAAGATGGTCCTGCTTCATCAAAAGAGACTACTCGTTGCCATGATTTGTCCAATAATGGCTCTTCACGTGAATCTGTGAATGTCATCTTCCTGCTTCGATCATTGGGTATATGCGAATTGAAGGTGGTGATCGAGCAGTAGGACAATTCGGGCCTAAGATTGCCCTTGCAAATGGCCAGTGCGATTTTGTTCACAATTTCATTTTTTCCGGCACATCAACAGAGCCAATACATTGCCCGGTTCAAGCGCAGCAGCGCTCTCTAAACTCCACTTGGCGCGTGCTATTGTGTATATTATTGGGAAGGATGGTGAAAGATGATAGATTCTCTTTTTCATTTCAAACCATCATCTTAACATCACACACACACAACAATCATGACAGTATTCCGTACCGCTTTAACTCGCGCAGTAGCTCCTACAAGCCGTCGTTCTTTGGCTTCCGCTACTACCGGTAGTCTTTCTGCCATTCGTAGCAAGCACACCCTTCCCGATCTTCCATACGATTATGGAGCATTGGAACCTGCTATCAGTGGTCAAATTATGGAATTGCACCATAAAAAGCATCATCAAACATACGTTAATGGTTTAAACACAGCCGAAGAACAATTACAAGAAGCAATCAAGAAGAATGACGTCAAAGCTTCGATTGCCGTTCAAAAGGCTTTAAACTTTAACGGAGGTGGTCATGTGAACCATACTTTGTTCTGGCAAAATTTGGCTCCTAAAAATTCGGGTGGTGGTGAATTACCATCAAGTGGTCCTCTAAAAGAAGCTATCGATCGTGACTTTGGCGGATTGGATCAATTAAAGACAAAATTCAACGCTCAAATTGCTGCTATTCAAGGTTCAGGTTGGGGATGGTTAGGTTACAACCCAACTTCGGGTAAATTGGACATCGTCACAACCGCTAACCAAGACCCACTCTTGTCTCACGTTCCTTTGATCGGCGTTGATGCTTGGGAACATGCTTTCTACCTTCAATACCAAAACGTCAAGGCTGATTACTTTAAGGCAATTTGGGACGTGATCAACTTCAAGACTGCTGAAGATCGTTTGAAACAAGCAAAAGCTTGATTTGATAAATCACAATTGAAGTAAAAATAATGTAGAAATTGATAATGCAAAAAAAAGATGTTGCTATGAAAAAAGTAAAAAAAAATTTTGTTGGGTTGCTTCCAACAGAGTTGAGAAGACATTACCCGTAAAAAGAGCATTTTGGTAGGAACAGATTTGGTAGATGCTAATAGATTCACTATCCACCATGATATGTCAATCCGCGTTTCAGATCTCCAATGCCATCAAACGTCTCCGCTCATCGACGAGCCAATCGAGCACATGACTCTAACATGATGAGAACAAGTTCCCGTCCTAGACCGCCATATGGGATCATGCTGCTCAAGCCGAAGGAAGAGGCATTTGTGTGCAAAAATTGAGATTAGCAAGGATTGCAGCATACTTTAGCAGAATAGTGTAATAGCTCCAGCCCATTTGCTGTTCTTACCATCGCTCAAGTCGCCGTTCATGCAGCGGAGCAAGCATTCGCAAAGCAATCTCTTCCACTTCCGAATCAGCTTCCATTGTCCATGCCGATTGACACCGCACTCACCTTTGAAAATACAGCCCATCCATCAGTGGCTGACAATACCTGTCAAAAGTTGCTATTGATCATTTTTTGTCGTGATGCATCTTTCACCGATGAAAATCGACATGCATCAGACAAGCCAACAAGCGGATGTTCGAAAAGAGGGGACCAAGATACAAAAGTCAAATGCCGCGTCGGCTCTTTCTTTATATCAAAAGAATTCCATCGCGAAATAGAATCATGATAAGAGCATTGGGTTGTGAGTTGTCATTGGGAGATTAGTCCCAAAAAATGAAGAGTTTTGGTAGGGTTAGGATCGTTCATATCCTCTGTCTTGCAGGAAGTACATCCGTATACAAGATCAGGGATATGAATCGAATGAAAGAACTGAGGGACGCTTTTTTATCACATCCCTCCAAATTCCTTGGGACGTCCAAGACACATTTGACTTCGTGTATTCGTTCCCAGAACTCTCTTCGCCCGCCTATCAGAAAAGCACATGGAAGGTGCCGTGTCCGAATCGCTTGAGTCTGATGATGAAAGTGCATACATGACTGATCCAACCTTTTCAACGTATCCAGAGGCACATTGATGGATGCGACTATGCTTTCCGAAGGGATGTGGTAGCCATCGTTGCAAGATCGACAAAGAAGCCAAGCAATACTTTGCTATAAAGATTCGAAAGTATATGTCGAGATGGAATGGGAATCGTGCTCGAGGTGAGAAGAGAAGAGAATCAAGTTCATACGAGAAAGTGTTGTTCTTTGCACGCGTATAGCGTGACGCGACTGATGCGTGTGTGTGTGCCTGCCTACACAAGCGCTTTAAGCACACTTTCCCCTCCTCCCCCTTTTGCCTGATAAACGCCATCACAGAACATCTTATCATCATCATGGAGAGGGCATCCGAGAGTGGTCAACAGCAGTCAATGGAACGTGAGTATGATTGATGTTTGTGTTAGACACCTGACTAATCAACCCAGCATAACAGTACTGCACGAATTGAGTCAATTGATGCAAACCGGATTATCAAGAGAACAATTACGGATATGCATAGATCTGATTCAAACGGGTGAAGATCCAAAAGCCATAGCAGTGCGTTCGTTATTGGAAAATGAAGCAGTGTGATCGTAAAAGCATACTGACCTTTTCCTTCTTTCCTACAGATCGCCATCAAAGAGCTACGGCATAGAGAGGCTACTTCTAATCGACAGGCCATTTGACAGACGTTTGTCGCCTTTTGATGATGATCTTGTAATCGTACCGACCGTAAATCTGATCGATGGCAGCCAGAACCGTGCGCCAATACTTCAATTGAACGAGGGCACAGATCTGAGTGTGTCTTTGAACCAAAATCCCATGATTCATCTACTTTGTCTTCTCGCTGACTCACACAGACACACAGGTTGCTTGCAAGATGGAATGAGGATGTGCGATTATGAATTGTAAATATGTATGCTGAGGGTGTGCGGAAGATAGTATATTTGGGGAAGAGAAGAAAAGAAGTATGAGTACAAAACATGAGCAATATTCTATGTTTCAAAACAAACAAAACAAAAAATCATGATTGTAATTGAAAGAAAAAAAAAACTGTGTCAACAAAAAAACAGCGACGCAATAAAAGAAGAAGAGAAAAGAAGAGAAAAAAGGCAAATGTTCTTTTGGATATTTAAAGAAAAACCCAATTTGTCATCATCATTTTTTTGAACGTGAAATCAAGCGGACAAGGCAATTGCAATGCTCAAAACTGCCATACTAACGAATGCTGTGTTAACGGTAACTTCCATAGCTCCACTGGTTTTGCTTGATGATGATCCACTACTGCCACCTGATGCTTGCGAGCCAACTGATGGATTTTGTGTTGCAGCAACTTTGGCCCAATTGCCCAATTTAGGTGCATTTGCGCTACCTTTTGGTGCAGTTGGGTCAGTAACATTGATGAAATCTTTTGTTGGCAAAATGTTATCTTGCTTGGTCGGTGGATCGTTTGGTCCGTATGCATTGTTGTACCATGGTAATCCTTGCAAATTTGGCACGGCACCTTCGATGTTCCATCCGGCTTGGTGGGTGGCTTGAACCATACTGTCGAATGCTTTGGCTGCTTGATCGGTTGTTTCGTGGTTCAATGTGATCCAACCGGTGTTGTTGGTCTTTGGTGTTGCCCAAGCAACTTCATTAGCAGTAACGGTCTTCAAATTGGGTGCACTTTGAACACAGCTTTGAACCTCCGTTGCGGTACCGTTTCCTTGACGCAAGCACCAATCATCTGCATCATGGGTCCACATGACTGATTGCATACCAAAGACGTACTTGGCAATTGCACGTACACGGTTATCAACATCACCTTCAGGCATACGGGCTTGGTTAGGGATGTATCCTGTGATGTCATAGATGATTTGTGCAGTCCATCCTAGTTCACCAACAATTTCCAAGTCAGTCTTTGTTGTTTGTAGGGTGTGGGACCATGTGTGAATAGCCAAATTTTGTTTTGGTGTTGCGTTTGCGATCAACTTTAATTGAGCTTGGTTCCAAACGATTGCACTACCAATCAAAAAGTGAGTGGCAGTAATGTTTTGTGTCTTGAAAACGTCAATGTAATGTGATGTACCGTTTGGTGTTGGTCCGTCATCGATACCGAAAGCAACGGCATTATCGGGAGCTTGATAGATATCACCGTTGAAGCACTTTTGGTCGGTCCATGAACATACTTTGGACATATCGGTTCCCTGGGGGTAATCAACTGTACCTTGAGCATTTTCCTTGCTTACTGGAATGTCTGGAATCAAGCCAGCTGCTTTGACAGCGTTGTATTTGTCTACCCATGACTTTGGTAGAGTGCTTGCAGCAGGTGAATCAGAGCCTGCAGGAGGATAAGGAGTACCTGTACCGGGTGAGGTGGTAGATGCTTGACGTTTTGTTAAATCGGTTGGTGCAAGATCATTGATTTCCAAATGATCAAAATGAGAACGACGTGCTTGCTTTGGCATTGATGCTAATTCAGCACGATTACGTTTTGCCAATTCCAATTGAGGATCTTCACCTGTGTAAAGTTCAACGGGCGTACGACGTTCATGACGAGCAAATAAGGCGTGATGTGGCTTTGCTGCCATGGAAGCGCTAACGGCTTCTGCTGCCACAAAGGCTGTTGCAAGTAGAGGCAAGAATTTCATTATGATTATTGTTGTTGTTTGTCGGAGTGTTTGGGTTGTTGATGTAGGTTAATGAATGTCAGACGAGCGTTAAAAAGAGAAGAGGCTCAAGTTTGATTTTGTCGTGGGAATGAAAAGGACAGTGAAGAAAGGAGAGATTGCCGACCTTGATCGATGAGATTTTAGGTCTGTACACGATGTATCAAACAAGTGTACGTCTTATTAAAAGGGGGGTTTGGGTGTGTGTTGTGGTGATGAAGACAGGAGAATAAAGATTGAAATGACGTTTCATCTTTCGGTCTTGCGCGGTCTTGCGTTTGAATAGGAATACGTCCGCAAAGCACATAACGCGACACAACCCTATCGACGCACTCTTTTTCATTACTTCACGGCTATGAGTGGTAATGAAGGGGTAAGTCCGCCCGATAAAAGGATAACTGCATACCAAGACCTTCGGATGACCGTTATACAGCCTGCATCAATCGAACAAAAAGTGTGCATTTTTTTGACTAGAAAAAACAGAAGAAGGCGCAATTCCGCCCCTTTCTCCTTAATCTTTACCGGATGAAATATCCCTAAGGGAGGTTTGCAATAGGTAAAAATAAATCATAAATTAAGGAGATCGTCCGCCTTAATGCATACCTTTACAACGGTTAATCTGCTTTCGTCATGCCAAATGATTCATGCAACAACACATATGCAAACAATCAGAAAATTTCAAGTTATAGAGGTATTGAGATCTGTTTGCGAAGTATATCTTTGCTTTTTCGAACGAGGGGGAAAGGGAGGTGCATTGCCAAGAAACTAAGTAAAAGCCTGAATATGCAAGAAATGGAAAAGGAGTTGAAAAAAGCATGGGGTCACTCTTTTCCTTTACTGGGTTCGCGCCTTGTCCCCTTTTTTCTACTGGACACACGATATAAATAGTGAAAAATTGAATGAAATCACGCTAAATTGACAACTTCTTTCTTGGCAAACGCGATCAATGCATTGTAAGAGTGTTTTTGCTTTCTCCTAAAAATTACGCGATCTTTTAGCATCTGTCATTCGCTTTTAGTCCCAATTATAGTGGACATCTGCACTGTATGAATGAAATAGTTGGAACTGGATATGAGAAAGAACTTCTGGAAATGTCGGTCCGTCCCCTGTGTCTGGCATGATATACGATTCGATCCGCTAAATAGGACGTTTAGCAACAAGAACTCATTCCTGTCACCCATCATTAGATGAAGTTTTTTTTCTCTCGGCCGAAAATGACATTTTTTCTCGATTATTGAACGCGCCTCTTCGGCTTATGTCATCTGTCGCTTTTCCAATGACAGGAATTAGGGAATCGGTACGTCCGCCCTGAGATCATAAAATATCCGAGGGGTTGTTCCTCTCGCCCTTAAGTCACGCGTACAAAACGGAGACGATCTGAAAATGCACTGAACAGACGCGCTTAATGAGACACGGAGTTGAAAGTTGGGTGATCGAGCGTGCGTACATGTACTGTAAGTTTGAACCTTAAATTTGGATATTGGTCAATAGATTGTAATATGTGCAGAGCATTTCACTCCTTTCCAATCAGGAGCATCAATGAGGTAAAAATAAACCCTTTGAGAGACAGGAGCTTTTTGTGAACTAATTTGTCATATGATCATCATTCTGTCAATCCAATCACAAATAAAAATGGATTGGGCGATCTCGAATTGCAAACTTTGACGCCATACATGACATTGCGCCTCTTTTTTTTTCTTTTTGAAGTCACACACATTCAATCACATCCGGGTCGCACGTTTATTTAAGATTTTAAAAGCCCGAAGAAAATAGAAGCCTTTTGCTTAAATAGGCAACCAAAACCGATGATTAATGGCTGTTGTGCCCTGCGCCCGCCCTAAAAAGGTAATTTAATCTTTGTAAGTGTGTGTGATATTGTCTACCTACCAAGCCGCCGCGCCCAAATTTTCAACTCCCGTGGTTCCTTGTGTCCCGCGCTTTAAACGTCCGTCTACGTAGCATGTACATACATTTCCGATCTTCGGCGCCTAGCTTAAAAACAATAATCATTCGTTATCAACACACTTACCAAACCATCTTAAGATGTGGCTATTGTTGATCTTTGAGTGAGGATTTATGCTATCAGAATCACTTATAATAAGTCATATAAATTTTAAGAATTAAGTAATAATTTGTTCTTGTTTGTATTCGATGTTATCTCTCTTATTATCACATTTTTTATCTCCTCGATAAACGCACAATCGGATGCAAGTTAGGAACATGCGAGACAGAGCTAATGTGCATTTCTGGAAATTGCGAAATAAAGAGGCACACAACACACTTTTGTCGTTCCTTGTGCGCATGTGTGTGCAATGCAGTGCAGGCAGGCAAGGCAAGGCAATGCAGCTCAGCCCCAGGAAGTTGATGCGTATTAATTAGTGATACAAAAACACACACTTGTGCCCGTACATACACGCTTATGACCTCGTCTTCCGGCACGGCATCACTCTACCACAAGGGCAAAATAACATTTTGTCCAATTTGATGGTTATTGTCTCTTTATGAGATCCAACAATCATTCTTAGTATCATTACCATCATCAAAGTTATTATATTCAGCTTCAAGAGAGTTCTTCTTCTTTTTGGTATTTTCGGATACAAGGGGTATATTTTACTAATATAAAGCAGGAGTGGCAGCCCGCTTCCACTTTCTCAAAAGTCAAAACACTTCTTCAAGCGGTCTTCACTTTGGATCACAATTCGACAAGAGAAAGGCCGCATCGAGAAAGATAACGGAGCTCCAACACAATTCATAACTTTCTAGAGAAAAATACGCTTTCGATCTGATTGTCAGCTAATTCAATCTCCGACTAGGTTCAGTAATACAAAAGCATATCCAACCTTTCAACCAACCTCGGTGTACAGCCAATCCAAACAGATCAAACACAACCAAAACTCGCAAGTTGTGATAACTTATGTGGCTCTGTTAAGTTCAATTCGGAAGAGAATCCAAGAAGAATAAAGTGTGTGAACTGCATTCGCACAGCAGCTCAAGTGCTCCGCCTCACGCCTACGAATTCGTATTGCAATCAAGAACAATAATCCGGGTCAACCGGAAGCGAAGCTGGATAGCAAGAAAGGGTACTACTCTTTGCAGTAATAATCGAGCTGCTTTCTATTATCCTTCCACCAACACTTCATCATAGGCTCTTGGCTTGCTTATGAGTATGTTCTCATCTTCGAATCATATGCCCTCTTCGGGATATATGTATGACGATAGAAGGAACAATTACAAATATCCAAGATCACAACATAGCAGCTCTTCATCAAGCTATGTTTCCAGCACGTTCAATCAACCAAGTCCTTCATCTTCTGCAACTTCAACTTCAAGTAGCGTTCGAACGCCCCCTGATTTGTTATTGAATGGAGCAACATTAGCAAAAGATTTGACACATTCAGCAAAGAACGCAGCACTTTTATCATCAAAGCAACCGATACAATCTGTGCAAAAGTATAACTCTGCAACAACAGGTTACCAAACTAAACAACAAGACCGTGCAAAAGAGACACGCTATATGACTATTGCACAAATGCAGGACCGCTTAAAGATTCTATCGAAAGTGACTGGATCGCCAACTGTCAAGCCAGATATTCCTTCGCCTCCGTCCAGTGTAGGCTTAAAGGGTAAACAAGTCGCCCGTGAAGCATCATTTTCTCCGCATAGAGCGTCTTTAAGTCAAAAGAGGAAAGCGGAAGATAGACCGAGTGAATCATCACCTGAAGCACAAAGACCAAGACGAATGTCACGAACGATGAATGAGTCAAGCTCATCATCTTTGTTGTCAAGCTTTGAGCCTTTATCGTTGCCTCGGGTGCGAGAATGGAGTAAAGAACAATATATCGATACTGCTGCTGCATACCGTCATAGAGGAAGAGAATTGAAACATAGAGGAGATAGAAGATTACGAGAATCATCTACGAATTATACTTCGCCCATCAATGAAGCTTCGATTGCCGGATTGGAACAAACGGATGCATTGCTGTTCTACGTTTATGGATTTTGGTGCGATGATCAAGGCAGAGGGACATGTATAACGGAAAATTGGAACAGTTTGTTCGGGTTGTTGAAGTATGTTTATCTTCGTCATGAGAAGAACAAGGCGACTGTTCTTGCAGGCTTGTGTCGATTGCTGGAATCAAGCGTTTTACGACACATTGCCGGACATGAGATGAGAATGTTGACGCATAGACTTGGCAAAGCATCCTCATCGATTGATCCGACGTCGAAAGAAGAAATGGTTGAATTGTCTGGTTTAATGCAAAAAGTTGTTGGAGATCAAGAAAGATCGAATCGATTACATGCACAAGCACGTCAAAGTGTTTTGAACATGACTGTTCTTCAACAACATTGTCCTGCTTTGGCACGGTTTTGTGAAAAGAGTATGCAAAGCCCGTTATGGGCATCATCCGATCAAGCACAATTGGCTACGAGGTTGGATCCATGTTCCGATTCGGCGAGTGAACCTGGCTTGGCAGCCTCAAGCACGAATGGATGGTGTTGGCCAATGGACGTTTCTTCACCCTTCCCGATGCTTGTTTGTTTTGGTAGAGCGGTTTTACGCGAAGTAGCAAGAGAAGCTCGGGTTGCGTTTGAAACCGAATCAGTTGCGATTTGAGTGATTCACACAATTCAATCTTCCTTCATATTTTCAGCATTTATTTCAACAATTTTCAAAAGTCACGGCAAGCAAATACCCCCCCCTCAAATTCAAACAATCTCTTGGATCTACATTAGCTGCATTTTCAATGCACAACAATGATGGGCCTTTGCAATGTTCAATCGCACAATGGCCCATCTTTATCATCATTTTTTTATCTGGTTGGTTCAAACAAAATTTTCGTTATGCACACAAGTTACCCATTTCATGCACATAAATACCTCATCACATTTCACATATATAGCACGGTTTTGGTTTTTTTTTTCTTTGTTTCATATTTGTTACATGACGATTTTTATGTATTTTCTCTCTCTTTTTATTTGATAACGATCAAGAATTTATAAGATTCTAACGATTGATAATGTATCAGGGGCTGAGCTGACCGTTGAGTGAGTAAATGTGGAGTACGCAGCTATCAGTCTAAGAGCACATCCTCAGTGTGTTAATTGCATGCATGCATTTAACCCTACGATCATTAAAGCTGAGAATCGTGCATATATTAACACAACACTTTTACCTATTGATCATCAATTCATCCTTAGCATTATGTCCAAGAAAGGGTGATCTGTATCAAGACTGAGAAGCCATCACGATGGCAGAGAGCAGTTCAGAAAGAGAGCCATTGCTTAAGCAACAAAAGCAGCAGCAGCAACAGCGACAAGGACCAAGCGAAACAAGACAATCAAAACCGATCCAAATCAAAGAAGAATCTCAAATCTCACCATTGATACGAGCATTGATCGCATTACGATCAGGTCATTTACCCGATAATGCACAGCTTTATGCGCTCTTGCATTCATCTGCTGCATTTTTTGAAACGTTAAGTGGATCAGTCATCCCGGCAGAAAGCAAAAAGAACTCTACCACAAACGAAAGAGATGATGAACGTGCGGCATTGTCAAATGAAACTATCATTACGCTTGCTGCACTTTTGAAAGAATGTGCAACGCTTTGTAGAATTTCGGCTGGATGGTTGTATGGTAATGAAAATGATCGGGATGGAAAGATTCCAAAATCCAACGATACGGAGAATGGTTCACAACAAGGAGCACGAGGCAACGAGAATGAACAATGGCAACGATTGATTTGGCATTTAGGTCAAGCATTAGTTGAGAAACCGGTCGAAGTTGAAATGGAAAGTGATCTTACAACAGATGCGCGTGAAGCCACCGAAGCGATCAAAGATGCAGCAAAGCAAGTTCAAACGGATGCTGTACAAGGATTCAAATCTATCACAAAGATCCTTTCGATGATTTTGAGCAGTGATGAATTTTTGAGGATACCTTCAGATATTGTCGGATCCATCAGTGGAACGCTGGCGGGAATTGCGAATGATGTTGGAGCAAGAGCGTTTGAAGTGGAAGAAGCATTAGAGACGAGTAAAGTCGGTTCTGAAAAGACGGAGAAAGACTTTTTATACCCCAAAGAAGCTGTTCAAGATGCAGGTGGGAAAGCGGCAGACGCGGTAGAAGCAATAGTCAACGAGCCACAACCAGGAAGAAAAGGAAAGCAAAGAAGATCGGAAGAAGAGGAAAAGGCTGCAACATGGGAAGATGAATTTTCCAAACGGATTGCTAGACTATTAACCGAAGTGAGAGAAGATGATACATTCAGAAGTGCGACTGAGAAAATTGTTGGGTTAATGAGAAAGTACATGAGTATTGCTCAAGAGGTACGCGATGATCTACAAGTCAACATCGAAAAAGAAGGATCAATTGGTGATGTAGCGGCGAATGGCGTTGATCAGGTCAGGGAAGGAATTGCAACAAAGATTGAATCTGTTCATCTGGAGACAGAGGTATCTACTCACCTCTCTTATCACGCTACTGCCACGTTGCAAGCGGCAAAAGAAGTTCTGGAAGGATTGGCGGGCGGGAAAAGCTTAGATTCCGTTTTGGAGAAAGCTCGGATTGTCAAGGAACAGGCACAGAGTGATTCTGAACTCCGACAATGGGTCAATCAAGCATTAGATATAGTTGCCAATACTATACGACCGACAGATAGCAGTAACGAAGAATCGATTCAAGCCCAAATCAAGTCACTCTTTGATGAATTGCACGTTCTGCTCAATACTAGACCAGCAATCGTACGTTCGTATGAAGACCTTCAAATTGCCTGGGCTGAATTTCAAGCTGGCCTCCGTTCTGACGCAATGATGCGTAAGCTACGTGCTCGAGTGAGCCATATCGTTTCAATGTCAAAGACGGTATTCGTTAATGGTATCAAAGATGCCAAAGATCAAGCCCGGTTCGCATTTTCCACTTTGATCAAATCACTTCTTCCTTCCCTGGGTCAAATTTTGGGAAACATTCCATTACCAAGAGTTGAATTCACGTCGGAAAATCTGGATGCTGTCGTTGATGATGTTCATATATCCTCCCTGCAACTCGTTCCCGATACCCTTCGGCTCACCACAAAGACAGATTGGGTCTGGCAACCAGACGAGACGCATGTCGATACTGACTTCCGTGTCTTTATTGGTGGTCTAAAACTTGCCGTTTCGGATGTATCCTTTTACGTACAAGAACGCTATACTGCACCCTCGGATACGGCCTGTTTTGCTTGTTGTTCCTTTGGCAGATCACAAAGCAATTGGTGTCTTTGTCGCGGTCCTGCTTCTTGGCTTGCTTATACAGAAAGTGCTCTACTCGATGTTGGATTCAAGCGTAAAGGTGTTGGTATCACTCTGGATTTGCGGGATGCAGGTCAAGATTTACGGAAACAATCATCTTCTTCTTGGTGGCCACCTTGGTCTTCATCGCAGAACAAACAACCAAATCAACTGGATGGTATCATTAAACAATATCAAAGTTCAGAAGAGCAGGCTGAAATTGAAGAAAAGTCTGTTAGAACATCATTCTTTGACATCAATGATTGCCAAGTGGAAATAGATGATTCGTTTGACCTGAATCTGAGAAATTCTCGTCATTGGCTCATCAATACCTTGCTACGTTACACGTCAAGACCAATCATCAAGACTGTACTGCGAAGGATCATTTCTGCTCAAATTCGAAATGGCTTTGTTTTGGCAGATCAGCGTGCATATGATATTCATCTTCGTTCTAAGCTTGTCCGCCATCGGAAGCTATGCCAAGAAGCTCGAAGAGCAGGCCATGAAACTCTACCTTCGCTTTCGGATGCACATGCCGGAGTGTCTGATTATGTGGCGGTCGTACTGAACAACGAAGCAGGCAAATCCAAATCGCGCATCGAACGAGAAAAAGAAGAAGAACTGCAACGTCAAAAGGAAGAGCGAGAAAAAGAAGAAGAAGAAATCCAAAAACAAAGAGAGGATCAAGAAGAAGCTGCAACTGTGAAAGATCAACCAAAACCTGACAAAAAGATGGAAATACGACCGACTGGAATGGTTTATCATGATGAAGATGGTGATTATAGTATCGCAATTGGCGTGAAACCTTCTGGAATGATTCTTGATGAACGTCAACATGGTCCAAAGACGCAACGAATGCGTGTACGCGAAGCGATTGCCAACCCTAAACGCACGGCAGAAGAAGTCGGACAAAGAGGAAAATATGTTCACGAAGAAGCAAAGAAGGCCTTACAAGGAGATCGCCAAGAATCACAAACAATTGATGACGAAGATCGTGATTTGTTGGATGTACCCAGAGCTGTCACACAAAATGCTAGAGAAGGATTGCACAATGCACAAGATGCATTAGCAGCAGTCACTGGAGATCTTTTCACAAAAGATGAATTGCGCAAACAGGATCGTGACAATGGATGGAAAAGCTCAGCGTTTGATCTGTGATCACACTTTTTGCATGCTTTGACATAGCGGCTTAGTAAGGTGATTACTATGTCAGTGTTGATGATTGTTATTAGATCAACTATATACATATGTTCAGAAATTACATTATTGTACACTAAAAATACAGATTGAACTTAGTTCCTCTCTGGTGTGGTAAGTCTGCGTTCTTCTCTGGTAAAACCTCTATCGTTCCTCTCTAAAGCGGTACCTCTAACGTTACTTTCTGATACTTTGTAGTCCTTCATCCTAACAAAGGAGGTCCTTTTGCGTTGATTTTCTTCTTCTTTGATTTCCCACTCGATCCTCCCTTTTGAAATTGTCTCCAATTATCGATGCGATCTTGTCTATTGTTCTCCCATTGCTCCTTCTCTTCCACTTTTCGTTTTCGCTCATTCTCCGCGTCTTCACGTTTTCTTTGTTCTTCTCCTTCAGCAGCGTGTTGGATGCGTACCGCCCTTCGCCTTCTCACTTCATCATCAATCATCATTTCTTTTGTTCCTTTTCGTACTCTTTCTTCGAATGAAGGTATTAATCCTCTTAATCTTTCATCGTCACCATCTATGTTTGCAGGTAGTCCCAGCTCTTTCAGACACACCACACGTGCAGACATTACCACTTCATCCAAAGCATTTCGTTTCTTTTCGTCTTGAAGATGAAGTGAGGCTTGTTTGAGTAAGCTAAAAGCATGTTCCGCTCTTGGATCTTTAACTTTGTCAGGATGAATCAAAAGGCTCTTCTTTCGATAAATCTTTGTTATTTGTTTTTCATCTGCTTCCATTGGACATTCTAGAATATCATAAGGATTCAATTTGAACGCCGATAAAATTCTGTCCATCTCTAATTCTTGAAAGAATAAAATCTTTTCGCGTGAAAGTTTCTTTTCCATCTCTTCCGGATTGTCGGGTAATTCGTCCATGATGTTTTTTGTGGCGGAAGTTTTAATCGTTGTATCCTTTGGTGCACTGGGCGGAGGCCCTGGAGGCTGTACGGATGGTCCGCTTTGTTTCGCATCCATGACGGTTGTGATGGTGGTGAGAAAGGTGGTGTAAGACCCGAGTCAAACTTTCCTTCCTGCCGCACCGCCGCCGCCTTTTCCTCTTGGCAATCACTCCCGCCCGAATCGCCGTTTATGCATGCGTGTCGCGCTTTACACAGCTTTTCCGCCCAAATTTAAGACTCAGGAACGCACGGACAATTTATGTGTTTAGGAGATAATCATCATTCCCATCTTGATAAGAGAGAGAGACTTACTCGCACACCATCATCTTCCTCTTCTCGTCAAGATGTCATCAACATTTGATCATTTGCGTACATTACCATCAATTCGTGAAAGATGCAGTAAAGTATTTGAATTAGCAAAAGATGACAAATTGGATTATTTCACTTATCATGCCGAAAAAGAAGAAAGAGCGATTGCATTTTGTACAAAGATTATAGAACGTGATTTTGGTGGTAATGTTGCACAAATTCCACCACATGGTCGTTGGAGACATTTTGATGCTGCGAATTTACCAAGAATTACAACGCTCTTATCGCAATTTCATAATGAAGGTGTTCAGCCTATCGAAGCTGCACGTAGATTGGTGGATCTGTTTGTCGTTAGTGTCTTGCTCGATGCAGGCGCAGGTCCGACATGGCAATATGAAGAGAGGAAGACTGGTTTGAGAATCGGACGAAGTGAAGGATTGGCAGTTGCATCATTGGATATGTTTGAATCCGGGTTGTTCTCAAGAGATGAAGATGAAGGAGGTGATGGCGTTCGACAGAAATGCGAAGCAAAAGCATTGGCTAGACTCACGCCTGAATTACTCAGTATATCCTTACAAGTAGATCCAAACACCAACCCAATGCATGGGCTAGAAGGTCGAGCAGGTTTATTGAGTAGATTGGGAGACGTGCTGCAAAAAGATGTTTTGGGCTACTTTAAAGGACCGCACGCAGGCATTTCACCAGAAGCAAAGCGCCCAGGATTCTTGATTGATTATCTTGCCAATCATCCATCAACGACAAAGAGTGCTGATGGAAGACTTGCAGTTCAAGTAGCAACACTGTGGAAAGCGCTCATTGAGGGATTGGCACCTGTCTGGCCCACAGAAGGAAGGACAGTGCTAGACGGACAAGTTCTTGGGGATGTATGGAAATGTGAAGCATTAGAGAAAGCAGGAGCAAAAGGATCAGATGCTTTAGTTCCATTCCACAAACTAACACAATGGCTATGCTACTCAATCATGGAACCAATGGAGCAAACCTTAGGTTGGACTTTTGTAGGAGGAGAACATCAGACTGGATTACCCGAATATCGTAATGGTGGTTTATTGATCGATTTGGAAGTTTTAGAACCAAAGCCAGAACTTTATGCAGCATCTGCCAAACCGTCTGGACCTCCGCCTGCAGGACCTATACCTATCTTTCAACCTAGTCATCCTGCTGTGGTAGAATGGCGTGCATTGACGGTGATCATGTTGGATCGAATCGCAGCTGGAATACGAGAAGCAATGAGTTTGAACGATGAACAATTAAATCTTAAACAAGTTTTAGAAGCTGCCACGTGGAAAGGAGGAAGAGAGATCGCGAAGATCAAGAGACCCGAGACTGGTGGTGGCCCTCCAATCAATATTGACTCAGATGGAACTGTATTCTAACGTCAGAATCAAGTCTATAGCCTGTTATTCATTTACATGTCAATTTCCTGTAATATTGATCATTGGTATACATCATTTCAAATCTATTTAAGCGCCAATGTTGACCTTATGGGTGGCTTGCAATTCAACATCTTCTTCAAAGATGTTGATATCCCATTTAGGCTTGTAATTGTAACCGATGTTGAAACGATGATGACCGCCATGTTGAACGACAAAGTTGCTAACAGTCTTGAAATCTTCAGCTGAAAGCTTGATTTGTTGAAAGTTTGAATCGATACGTTTTGGCGTAACACTCTTTGGAATGACTGAATATCCACGGCCACGACCCCAAGCGATCAAAACTTGAGCAGGGTCAGCATTAAGCTTTTTAGCAACGCTTTGAACGGGTTCAGAAGAGATGATATCCTTCTCCTTTCCTTCTCCGTATTGGAGTGTGTTACCCAAAGGACTGTAAGCAGTGATATGGATTCCCTTTTCGTTGGAGAATTTGACCAAATCTTCTTGTGGCAACAATGGATGAGCTTCGATCTGGTTCACTGCTGGAACGACACCGGTAGCTTTGATGATACCTTCCAAATGGGCTTGCGTGTAGTTTGAAACACCGATTGACTTGACCTTTCCGGTCTTTTGCAATTTGATCATTGCATTCCAGGTATCGACCAAAGTGGTCTTTAGGTCCAATGTATTTTGCTTTCCGTCATTTGGAGTCAAATCTTGGTTTGGCTTTGCGGTTTCAAAACCGACTGGCCAATGGATCAAGTACAAGTCCAAATAATCCAATCCAAGTTCTTTGAGTGTATCATCCAATGCACTTTCAACGTGTTCCGGCTTATGGGCTGAGTTCCATAATTTTGAAGTGATGAACAATTCTTCACGTTTGACGACTGATGGAATCAATTCTTTGAATGCTTCTCCAATCTCAGATTGATTTTGGTAAATTTTTGCTAAATCTAAATGACGATATCCTGAGTTTTTTACTGCATGGATAACGGCATCTTTTACTTGACCTGGCTTACTTAACCAAGTACCCAAGCCGATTGCTGGGATGGTGTTGCCGTCGTTGAGTTTAATTTGTTCGTGTAGAGACATATTTATGTATGAGTTGTTTGTTGTGGTTGTGAGACAAGAAGATGATTTGACTTAAAAGGGTACTTATATGAGTTTCTCTTGAATGATGTCACTTATAGGTACACACACGACTATGGCAAGTAGAATTCGCAATTAAACCAGCCGAATTGCGTGAGAGTGTTCGATAACTGTAAAGGTACATTACCATTGTAGATTTTATACGCCACTCGAGGCACTTCTTACGTCTTCTTTTTATTGTGTGACCCTGATTTATTCATTCCATTTCTTCTTAATTTAAAAGTGGAGGATTTCTGCGCTAAAGTGGCACACATGCGCACTTTGCTGCACTTTGCCAGCACTTTCGGTACCGTGTAAGAGAAAATGGAACGTGCGCGGAAACTTAAACAACGACCACAAGTGAGCTTAAAATTAAAGCTGACTGTTTCTTCTTGAATTCATTCTTATCCGAGAATCCATCTCATGATCAAATATCGATAACAATGTCTGACTTTAATGCAGAAGAAGTACTGACATTCGCCATCAACATTGCCAAACAGGCAGGAACGATCATCCGAGAAGGAAGTGCAAAGCGAATCGATGATCAAAATCAAGGTAAAGTGGACGTTGAAGAATTGATCAAGAAAAACACAGCTGATCTTGTCACCGAAACCGATCAAAAAACGGAAAAGTTTATCAAAGATGCAATCTCTAAACAATTTCCATCACATAAATTTATCGGAGAAGAAAGTTGGGCTGCTGGACAGCAGGCTACGCTAACTGATGAACCACATTGGATCGTTGATCCAATCGACGGCACAAATGGATTCGTACATAATTTTGTCATGTGTTGCGTTTCGATTGGTGTTACATTCCAATCAAGACCGACAGTAGGTGTCGTGTATGCTCCCTTCTTGGACACTTTATACTATGCACGTACAGGAGCTGGAGCATTTATCGAATCACCTGCTTATGGAGAACGACAGCTGCCATTAGCAAAGCCAATGCCTTTACCAAGCTTAAAACAAGCACTTTTAGCAGTAGAATACGGAAGTGATCGTGGACCAGGCGTACTTGATAAAAAGATGGAAAGTTTCAAGAGATTGATTGGGGACGAAGATGCTGGCATCAAAGGCGGTCGAATGGTTCAAGGTGTAAGGAGTATCGGAAGTGCGGCGCTAAGTTGCTGTTATGTTGCCCAAGGTACTTTTGATCTTTGGCATGAGGTTGGTTGTTGGGCTTGGGATGTATGTGCTGGAGCTGTGATCATTCAAGAAGCAGGCGGTGTGGTCGTAGGTGCAAAAGAGCCCACCTTGAAATCTATCAGTACAGAAAGCTTTGGTGATATCACTCCTGAAGTGTTACAAGGAAGAAAGTACCTTGTCATCAGAGGCGTTGGAGATTCAAAATCTGAAAAGGGCGCAGACGCTCAAAAGAGAATCATCAAAACTTTCTATGAGACGATTGATGAATGGGATGCAAAGTGATCTGGCTATTAATTTGCATGTCTGTTATTACTCTTTTATGTACAAATGATATCCCAAGATGTGATTAAATTGATGTTTGATCATTCTGCATACACCTTTAACGCTTCTTTTTCTTCTTGCTTGCTGTGGATAGAATAGAACCTCCTTTCCTTTCCACACGAGGTCCAGCAGAACGAGATTGAGTTGACATTAGGTATGTCAAGCCGGCCAAAACATTTCCGACCAAAAGTCCAATGCTAGCACCCAAAACAGAAGGCACAGGATATGCTTGCCAAGCTTTATCCCAATCCAGCAAAACTCCTGATGATCCAATCAGAGCGCCTAGCAGAGTACACGTAGTTGTCCGAACCAAGATCTTGAATCTCGGTGCAGCTTTGGTCGTTTCAGATATCGTACTTGAGAAGGAGAAAGCTTTGATCCATTCCTGTTCATCTGTGCCCAATACGTGAATGGCAGGGAGGAGGGCCAATAGGGCCAAAAATCCCGACAAGAACAAAGTATCCAAATGACTTTTAAGGAAAGGTGCTCCACAAAGAACGAGGACTGCATAAATGACAATTGCAATCAAAGGTAAAACAAAGGAAGTCATTGTAACGTGTTCCATCTGTTTACCTATTCCAATCCTTCTTCTTTTCATTACTTCTTCACGATCACCACGTTCCATCGCTTCTGCTTCGTCCCACCAACCTTTAAATCGTGCAACGAACCAAGATTGACTTAATATCAAAGCTGCCAAAGTTGATCGATTTCCACGTTTGATCCATTTGATAGCTGTTGAATCACTATTGGGCGTAGAAAACAAAAGTTTAAAAGCGGTAATCAAATTTTGCCTTGCTGAATTGACATTTTCTAAAGATGAATCGTAGGCTTGTTTGGCTAATGGGCTTACTGTTATACTGTCTTCGTTATTCTTTAATGCCAAATTTTGCTTTGATGCTTCTCGCCATAACATGTGGGCTGGTAAAACGATCAAACAGAGAAAGATTAAGATGCTGTTCAACGTTAGCATGACCAAAAGCTGAAGCGTATGTGAAGATGAACCCAAAGGAGGTCCTTTGATCGATCCATTTTGTGGGTTAGCACCTTTGGCTTGATCGATGGTTTGGGAGCCACCTGCCCCTGACGATGATCCTGTTATCTTTGACATGTCTTGATCACCGTTATGATACAATATATGCTCAAGTTTAACACTTTTCTTCTTGAATCATTTTATTCGGCGTTAGCTTGTCTACGCGTGCGGCTTCATGCGTAAGCTTCAAAGGTCATGCATGGACTGAGTGTTGTACAGTGACACGCGTCCAATACAGAAGAAGGACAACCTTCCTTGCCATCACTACGTCTCATTTAATTCATTAACGATGGCTGAACAAAAGAAAGACGAGAAAGCCACAAGTGCTGCCACTACCGGATCAAGCAATACAAACGGTGCAGCTCAACAACAACCACAAAAAGAAATCCCAAGTTTGGGTGCATTAGATGAAGATGATGAATTTGAAGAATTTGAAGCACAAGGTGAGTAGTGGCATATGCAATACAACAATTGAAATACCATAAGCATTTATACTGATACCCACCCTCTCATACAATCAGATTGGGAAGATAGCAAAACATCTTTGGCCCATCTAAATTCCGAAGGTGGAGCAACGGGTTTGAGCATGAGTGGAGAACAAGGAGGAACCGGCGATCATCTTTGGGAGGACAATTGGGATGATGACGATGTCGAAGATGATTTCGGAAAAGCATTAAGGTATGTTCGATTATATTCTATACATTATCATGACGGAAGCTAATTTTCACCTTCTCCTCACTTCCCTTGACTCTAGAGCCGAATTGGAGAAACAATCTGGCAAGCCTGGACAGCCAATGGCTACTTGAAGCAAATCACAAATTTACATTGTATCAATACATACTTGTTCGAGACACATTTAGTACTCTTCTTTACATGATTGGGTCGGAGGAGACTTTGAAAAGACGTAAGGCTGCATCAGGTACGGTATAAGTTAAGCTCTTCTCGTCTTCGAACTCGACATCATCCTCTTTTGAATCGACAGACTTCCAAAACCGCGAACCAGATGCCACAACGACTACAGGATGTGACGGATGAAAGGCAACGGCAGGGATCGCATCTTCTGCTGCCTTCCAACGAGTCAACGGCGGAATAAGCGCATCTTCATTTGGTCGTAGAATACGTCCAAAGAATCGATCATTGTTTGAACTTTGAGGTGTCTCTAATTCGGATTCAGGAGATCGTACATCCCATAAGCACACTTCGCCCGTTTTGTTACCGGAGATGAGGTATCGACCAGCCCAATCTAGATGAAAATGAATGCGTTGTTGTGATTCCATGCGTTTCTCATTGCGCTCACTTTGACATTGAAGTATGCCAATCAGTGCTACCTCTGCAGCAGGATGCATGAATGACCGTCTAGAGCCGACGTATCGTAGATCATACGCTCGGATGACGGAAGCACGTCTTGAAGTGACAAAGAGGATGTGTGGGACAGGGGGATGAAAGGCTATCTGTGGACGGGTAAGAACATATGAATCAGCTTCATTGGTAATCCTCACCATTTTAATAGCTCCATACATACCTGTGCTATCCCATTTGAGCCTTCTTCCTTCCAGCCCAGCAAACACAGCTGTTCAGCATCGGTGATCGCTTCTCCCTTTATTTGATAAATGCCCACTGTGCCTGCAAATGTTCCAATGGCTACAAGATCGTTAGTCGAGCCCGTAAGATGATCAGATGTTACGGTGATTGTTGAAATGACTCCTTTCTGTCCAGCGGCTGCTTTTCCTTTCCTGGTTGCACGAGGAGAAGGTGTGAGACGAATGGAAGTGTGCGAATAGACGCCTGGCTTATCCAACGAAGCGATGGAAAGAAAGCTGTCATGAGCGCAGTAAAGCTTCGTTCCGTCTAGACTGAACGCCATCGATTGAGGACCTTTGAAGCGCTCTGTATGATCAATGATACCATATGTTGCTCTTGTGCGACCTTGGTATGCGTCTATCAACTTGATCGTTACATCTCTTGCGCCAATTGCAAAACACCAAGTTTGTGGATCATCTTGGCGTGCGAATGGATACCATGCAAATGATAGTAGCGTTGTAGGAGCATGAACGGAGAAGACGTACTCTAACTTGTCGTCATCCAATCTGAATAGATTCAAATGATGATCGTCACTCTGACCGAGTAAATGCGTTCCATCTGGTGACCATGCAATGTTCCTCCAAAAGTATGTGTCTGGATTGCATGAAGGTCCGGCTACTCTTGCGATATCCTCCCCACGAATATAAGACGCTATGATTGGTTCATCATCAAAAGAATAATTTGGTGGCTTCCAAATCCCTTCTACTGATTCAGGAATTGACATTGCTCGTCAAAAGACCATCGTTGGGCGTGGATATGAGCAAGAAGAAAGGAAGATTTGTCACCGAGAAACAGAAAAAGGCGCCGACGCGTAAATGTCCAACCAATATCCACATTTTGAGTGCATACACTGAGAAACATGAAACGGTACCGATCCGAGAAGGAATATTCTGATGGCGTCAAAGCGTAATGAAGTGGAATGTTATGTAGTGTATGAGATGTTGAACGGATAGTAGCTTAGGGAGGATGAGTAGAGCCCCGCTTCTCTTATAACTCTCATCATCGTTTGACAGACAAACAATGTCCTATAGGAGCACACCAACATCATCATCATCATCAAAGACCGATTTTGCTGCTTTAACGTTGTGGTTGAATCGTGAAAAAGAAGCATTTCCTCATCTAAAGAAGGAAGTTCTGCCTGTTGACAATTTTCCAACCCCAACTATGCCTGGTCATTATAATTCTACCTCTCCGATTGAGCGAAAACGCAAATCATTAGGATCAGAGATGGGCTTTTACGAATTGATGCTCGATCAAGCAGAGGAGGGTGCGGGACGAGAAGCTGAATTTGAAAGCTTTGAAGCAAGTGGTATCCTTGCACTTTCACCGGATGTAAGCGTTGAGCAAGAACAGCATTCACGTCAAATTATTGTTATTGAAATGGAAGAAGATGAAGAACAGATCGAAGAACAAGAACAAGGCGAAGAGAGTGGGATACTTTCAACGCATATACTGGACGAGGAAAGCGGGATGCCTTCCATGCATCTACAGGAAGATGAAAGTGGAATCTTGTCAACATACATACAGGAAGAAGAATGTGGACATTTTCTCGATCCTGTAGAAGAAGTGACTGAAGAGCCAACGATCATCGAGTGGGAAGTAGAAGAAGAAGAGCTCTCAACACATACAGCCACGCCCCAACGTATTCAAGCGTCTTTCACTTCACACGAAGTTCACGATTGGGCTCGTTTGCATGGCTTGGGTACACCGTCATCCATTGCTCCTTCACCTGCCGCAAGTCGATTTGGATGGGCAGAAGTGATTGCACAAACGAGGTTACAAGAAACGGATGAACGAAACAAAGCGGTAACAATTTTTTCACCCTTTTCTCCTGCAAAAGCCATGGGTTTGAAGACTGATTATTGGCTAATGTCACCTACAAAGCCAACATTAGCCAAGACTATGCTTTCTGCAAAACCGAAACCGCAACAATTACTTCCGGCGGCGGAAAAGTCAGATCTGTCAGATTGTTCAGATGATTCACTGGGATGGATTGAAGTTCAACCGGTTGCTACAAAACAAGTATCTGATTATAAGTTGGAGGGACTCAATCCCACTTTCAGACGTAAAACTAAATGGGCAACAATCATTCCGGATCGTTTTGCTTCACTTCGTTCACGTTCTTCATCCCGATAATAATTTGCGTTACCTTTGTCATCAAATCAGCCGCCTTTCTATGAAGTCAAGCCGCGTTTTCTTTCCCTTTGTTCATCTTGCGCACTGCGCGCGTCACCTTGTGTTTGATTTTTGTACATTTGCTGTTATGTTGTGTTGTACCCTTTGTTGTTTGGCGTAATGAAAGATTGTTTCTTCCTTTGTTGTCATGTATGCGGGCGTGCTTCCTTTTTAATGACCGATTTGCATATACATCACATGCCATGACATTTTAAATTCCTTTGTTGTTTTGTTGATGACAATGGGGGTTGTACCGTTGCCCTTTGTTACTTCAAAGCCACATGTTACTCATCCTGTGCAGTCAATGTAGGTACGATCGGCAAATAAAAAAATATGTCATTTGTTGTCAAAGGGGATTTGTTTTCTTCCTTTTGTCTTGGTAAAACAATGGAACCGTCTCCTGCTCTGAGTATATAAAGATGCTGTTGTTTGATCCAACCCATTCCCTTGCCCTCAACCTTTCTCTCAGGAACAGATATGATGGGAAAGACATCCAACGCATACGCCAAACTTCCATGGCTAGCAACATTTGCAACATGCTTACAGTGGATCTCGCTCATCTTGATCACTTTGATCCTAGTTTGTCCATCACCATGGGAGCATAATTCTGTCTCTTTGTTCGTCATTACGCCTCAACAATCCAACACTGTTTCGATCAGCGTCCCACCTCCATCTTCGACAAGTTCAAGTGTTTCACCGTCTATTGCAGCTAGTCAGCCAGCATCCAACGACCCAGCCTCATCAACATCATCACTTCCAGCACATTATCCTGCCATTCAGACTGCAGCAGCACAATCAGGTGCAAATGTCAAAAGGGAACCGATTGATGATACAATCATGGCTCAACAACCTCAAATTAAAGAAGTCATTTCAAATTCTTCTTTTCCATCTCCTTTGGGAGGAGGTGTTAATGTGACCTCTGTAAACGTAAGTCAATTGACTGAACCATCAAGTTGGATTCAATTAAGAATTGGTCCACTGGGAAGTTGTTTTCGTACGGCTGATGGACGTGAATCATGTACACCTGCAAAGCTAGCAGCTTCTTATCAATACAAAGGCTTACAAGGGATTATGAATACCACTGCTTCTCCTGGTATCAACGTTCAAGAATTATTGCCAGATAGTATGACATTTTATGCAACAGTATTGCTACTGTTGACCATTATGCTATTGTGTGTTTGTATTTTTACAACCACTCACTTGGTCTTGCTCTTCCGTCACAATAAGCAATTACAACAATCCACCACAGCTTCACAAGCGATCACAACATTTTTCAAGCCTACATCAATGTGGAAATCATTAATGACAGCAATCACAAAATGGTTCTTGATTGTGATTGCGATGATTTTGGTTGTTGCAAGTGCAATTCAAAAGTATCGTTTGAGTAACGCAAAAAATTCGTTCAATTCTGCCAATCCGATCGCTAATGGTTCTGTAGCCTTACAAGCTGATACTGGAGATGCATTTGGATTTGCTTGGGTTTCAACAATTTTGCTCATCATTACATTTTGGCTGCAAAGGACGGCAAACAGACGTGAGAATGCATTAGATACTGCACGTAAAGAGTTGCAAAAAACATTACCACAACATTTGATCAATAATGATGCGGATGGTAAGAGCGGTGGTCAAAGTACTTTGATCATGTCTAATCTCTCTCGTTCTGCAACTTTACCACCCTATACCCCACCTCCAACACAAGGATCACAAGAACAAGGATATTTTCCACAAGATTCAAAGAGAGGAAATACGAATGAACTTGATTCGTTTGCATATGGATTGCCTTCATTACAAAAAGCATACGAATCTACTGGCAGATTAAATGCAGCAAAATCTTCACCACCATTTCAAATGTATCAATCCGAATTCGGTCATAGACAGCAACAAGCTTTGGCTGGATCACCTTTACGTCAAATGAACTCAATTCCTTCTTCTTCAACTTTGAAACTTCATCAACAACCGCAACTTGGACATATGCCAAGCTTACATTATGATCAATCAAGTTTTGGAAATAATACGTACGTACATGAACAAACGTACGATCTTGGAGATTATTCATACAATACCGAAGTCTTGGCTGAAGATGGAACTCCAAATACATGTGATTGTTCATTCGGACGTAATCGTCTAGATTGTTCTTATCATTCCACAAACACCACCACCGCTGATATTCGAAACAGACGTTTATCCGGACTCTTACGTCAAAATTCTCAAAATTCTCATTCAACATTTGGTCATCATATTCAAAGGATTGGTGGTCAAAGTTCACATCGTCTTGGCGGCATGAGCTACAATAGCTCTAGCCCGAACGGTAAAGAAGATAGATGTAATAGTCCTGCACCAAGTTATTGGACAAGTTCTTCTGCCCCTGCCGGATCATCATCAACCACTACGCCGCAACAACAAGAATCGGCAAGACAAGAAAAAGAACGTCAAAGAATATTCATGGCAGAATTAAGAGCACAAAGAGCTGCAATGCATAGTCACTAATGCCTTCACGAACAAATTGTACATATTTTCTCTTCGTTTCATCTTCGTCGTAATTTAATCTTATATACAATACATTTACACCCTTTTCTTGTCGCAATTAGAACATATGAGCAGATTGTGTCAACGGTAGTCGAGTCGCAGGCGGAACTGTACAGAGTTGTCCATCAGCAGTGACGTCATATCTGAGAGTGGAAACGAAAGAAATTGTCAGTATGATTTCCCGAATCAAACTTACTTTACCCATTACTCACGTTTCAGGATCGACGGTGATCTTTGGCAAGTTGTTATTTAACTTCATATCTTTCTTCCCGATCGATCTGCATCCTACAACAGCTTCCACACGTTTTGCCAATCCGTACGAAGCAATATTTCCGTTCGCAATCGAAGCAGCACTAACGAACGAAATGCTATTCATCGTTGCTGCTTTTGGCATGGAACCAAACATCGGCTTACCATACACTGGCTGTACGCATGGAATCGATCCGTTCGCATCACCAACGTGTGCCCATGCAATTTGACCACCTTTGATGATCATATGCGGTCGTGTACCGAAATGGGCAGGTTTATAAAGTACCAAATCGGCCAACTTGCCAACTTCTACCGAACCGATCAAATGAGACATTCCATGACAAATAGCAGGATTGATGGTATATTTTGCCACATATCTTTTCACACGTTCGTTATCGCGTTTTAACTTTTCATCTTCTCCTTTCAGCGGTCCACGAACTTCACGCATCTTGGCGGCCGTTCTCCATGTTCTTGCAACAACCTCTCCAATTCTACCCATTGCCAATGAATCGGACGAAATGATTGAAATACTTCCGTCATCTTGCAATACATCCTCGGCTGCCACCGTTTCAGCTCGGATACGCGAATCAGCAAATGCAACATCTTCGGCAATATCACGAGACAAATGATGACAAACCATCAGCATATCCAGATGTTCGTCCAACGTGTTCATAGCATAAGGTCTTGTAGGATTCGTACTACTGGGCAGAACATTCTCCTCACCACAAACACGAATGATATCAGGTGCATGACCACCACCTGCACCTTCAGAGTGATAGGTATGGATTGTGCGACCTTTGAAAGCGGCAATCGTACCTTCGACAAAAGAAGATTCGTTGAGGGTATCAGTATGAATGTTGCATTGAACATCATACTTATCGCAAACTGATAAACAACTTTCAATCACAGCTGGTGTGGCACCCCAATCTTCATGGATTTTCAATCCTGCACAGCCGGCATTCACTTGATCTTCTAATCCGGCCATACCACTATCGTTTCCTTTGCCGGTGAATGCAAAATTTAGTGGCACTTCATCCGTAGCACGTAACATGTGCATTACATGCTCTTTCCCAGGAGTACAAGTTGTTGCGCTTGTTCCAGCAGATGGTCCAGTACCCCCACCAACCAAAGTTGTGATACCGGTTGCCAGTGCTTCTGTGCAGATATCCGGCTCAATATAGTGCACATGCACATCTAACGCTCCTGCCGTTACGATGAGACCCTCTCCAGCCAAGACTTCCGTGCAACTTCCTACTACCATACCTTCGGTCACGCCGTCCATCATGTTTGGATTTCCTGCTTTACCGATTGCTGTGATATAGCCATTCTTGATACCGATATCGGCTTTGACAATACCCCACCAATCAACAATTAAAGCATTGATGATTACCGAGTCCAGTGTTTCTGCATCGGTTGCCCCGCATGCTTGACCCATACCATCACGCAATACCTTGCCTCCTCCGAACTTGCATTCCTCACCGTAGATTGTCATATCGCGTTCCACTTCAATCCAAAGGGCTGAGTCTCCTAGACGGATCTTATCACCAACCGTGGGACCATACATGGATAAGTATGTTTGACGACTGACCGCGAAAGGTGCCGGAGCTGGCAATTGCTGAAACGCTGCATATCCTGCTTGATCGGCATCAGCGAAACCTCCTTCGACAAATCTTTGTTTGACATTCCTTTGCAAGGCTTGATCAGAGAGCAGAACATCAAGCGGTCCTGTGTAGAGGCTATTTCCACCGGCCAAGCTCTTTTGACCACCGATTTGTACCAGCGAAACAGTCTTTATATCTCCTGGCTCAAAGCGAACAGCTGTACCTGCGCAAATGTCGAGCCTGAATCCAATTGCAGCTAGTCGAGGGAAGAGCAAAGTAGGATTGGTTTCGTGGAATGGATAATGTGAACCAACTTGAATTGGTCGATCTCCTGTATTTGTCACTTGCATTGCAATCCTTCGTCGGTTAGGAAGTAGAACGATATCTTTGGCTTTTGGATCGATGACGACTGCCCCTGATAGGTACTTGTCAACTCTTGCTTTGTCTTCAGGTGAGAGTTCAAAGAGGCTGCGATCTGGAATAGGTAGAAAACTACCATAGAGCGCATTTGTCAAATCGCCGTCATCTGTACAGATAGGATCATGAACAGTGACCAAGAATGAGCCGTCTAGAAAAGTGCCTTCGACCATAACTTCATGAACTTGTTCTGCTACTCCGTGTAAGACATGCCTTCTTCCCAACAAAGTTTTTCCATGTTGCATTAATTCTGCGACTGTATGCTTTCCGTCTCTGATTCTTTCCTGTAAAACAGCAGCAATCAATGCTGTTGCTTCGAACTCGTTCAAACGTACACCGCGTGCCAAACGCTTTTGCGCCAATGAGCCAACATTGTGCAAGAACACTTTATCACGTTCTCTTGGTAGGAGATCCATGATGTGAGATGGTGGTGGGAATTCAATGCAATTTCCTATATCATCACCAAGATTAATCACCTATCTGCCTTGAAAGATAACGCACAGATCTCTTTTCTGCATTTCTTCTCAAAAGATGCACTGGCACACGCAATGCAGGACAGTTGATGAACCTTTCTTTTCCTTTTTCTCTTTAGCGCAGCGCCGCCCTTAAGTCTTGACACATTTAAAGCGTTCCTCTATGCGGAGTAAAAAAAGCCACAAGAGCAAACAAAAAAGCCTAGCGCTGCGCTTTAGGCAAATGCATCGCTTGTAGGGTAAAGAATATGCCCACACACGCAGGCAGGCATCAAAATGAACCACAAGGCCGGGCGGGGTTAAAAGTCGCACGCTCTCTTTTTCTCACTTTTAGGCTTTTCATTCTTGCAGCCATCCATTGTTGGTCCTCTCTCACTGCGTCCATCTTTCGTTAGACCGCATACATTCGTATCTTCTCATCGTTGCCATCCGATTTTTTCTTGATCGAGAATCGTGATCGGGGCAAGTTGGGTATCCGTCATTATTCTCCGAGGACTTCGTAGGATATTTGTGTATACGCATCCTTTGCATTCACGCCGCGGCAAAGATCAAGAGAAAGTCTGAACACCGTTCAAGCATCACCGACGCCATCCTCAACGCCAATATCTCAACAATTACAGAGCCGATTGCACCGCATTTGCAGAACAAAACGACCCCAAGAATCTCAAGAGCCGAAGATGTGCTAAGAGCAAACAGTGTATAACAAAAACAAATTCACAAATCTCAGCCTCAAGTCTGCATCGTAAGGCCCTCTCTCTTCGACCGCGCGAGAGGCTCACATTGTACACATCGCTTTTGTGGACACTGCCATCAATCGAATGTATCTTTCTTCTTCGCCACAACATATCTCAGTAATTAAAGAAAGAACTTTTGCATAGATTACTTCCAGCGCGAGGCAGTACAAGCGGTCTCCTAACAAGATTGAAGACACGACATCCACCTTGTCAAAGTACCATATAAGACGCAAATAAGACGCTGCTTTCTCCGCAACACAGGTTAAAGTGAACGATTCTATTGCTCAAGATCGTAGTTTTCATCTTCAAGCTGCACCCTCAGAGAGCTCACTTCAGCACACTTTATCGGCATACAATCCGTCAGGATGCCGGCCGAAAAGTCTCAAACCGGTAGGAGGACTTTGCAGCCCGCTTGTGATGCTTGTCACATCCGTAGAGTGAAATGTTCGCATGAGCAACCATGTGCTCATTGTAATCGCCTCGGTCTTACCTGCACTTACACAAAAGCACACACAGCAAAGGTGAGTTACGATTGCTGGATCGCATTGACAGAGAGACTGTATAACTGACGCCATCTATCCACAGAAAACTGCCGGAAAACGCATCGAGGCTTTACGACAAGCTGAAAAGAGTCGACAAACGTATGCTGACAAACGCAATGAGGCATGGGGTGCTTCAACATCAGAAGCACCATCAGGAAGTGGAATGTGGAATCATGGCGCACCTCATAACGGAGCCGGATATGGACATGCGCCGCCAGCTCCATTCGGCGGAGATCCCAGATATGGTTATCCTCCTCCGCAATATCCAGCTGAAGACCGAAAGCCGCATCACTTTTATGCGAATTCGCATCCCTCGAACCCTTCTTCATCGGGAATGTCTCCAGGATCACACAGCATGAATAATGTTATGGGAAATAACAGTGGATGGGGTCCTTCTGCCTCGCCTAGAGCACGTCAGTCTCATCCGTATGATAATGAAAGACAAGTACGCTTTCAGCCGAATACAACCCCGACTTCTGCTAATCGTTCACATTTTGGGAGCGTATCAAGTGGAAGCGGAAGCAATGGAATGACATCAATGCCGTATAATCAGCATGGAGGATATCCTAATCCATCACCACAGATTCCACAGATGCCCACCTCTGTGCCCGGAACACAATTTCGAGATGGTCCGTCAAATGATGTCCCTTTCATGCCTTCTCCTTCTCAGTATCTAAGTAATTCAGGCAACACTAGGAGCAGCTTCGAAACGCAGGAACAGCCTCCCAACTTGATGGGTGCACCTTCTGTGGGTATGCAAACGCTTGATGCATCAACAAATACGGCGAATATGACGTTCGAAGATCAAGTTCCAACGATTGATCTTTTGCAAACGTCAGTATTGCCGCCATTCAGCACATCAATGGCAGACTCTCTGTTCAATAACGAGAATGTTTTCAATGCAGACAGTATCTTTGATGAAGCAAGCTTGCCGCCTCTGCTCAATGCTGGAAATGGTCAACAAACAATGCTGGACATGTTGGGTGCTTGTTTGCCATCAGGAGAAACGCCAGGCTCCGTTGATTCAGCATCGATTGGAACAATGGAAAATATGCAAAACTCAATCAAGCATGGTGATGGTGGAGCGGCAAAAGACCAGTATGGCAGAATGATCAACGAAGACACCACAGAGATTCATCCTTTATCCGATTCTGCCTTAATCCCAACTCTGGCTCTCTTTTACGAACGCTTAGGTGGAGTGATGCCGGTCTTCTCACGAACATGGTTGTTTTCACGCTTGGACAAGGATGATCATCAGACAGATCCGCACTTCGCTGCTATGCTGATCGCAATGTCTGCATTGGTAGTCATTCAAGCACAGCCGCATGCAGATGCAAAAGACAAAAGAGCAGACCGTCTATCAGCGCGAAAGAGAAGGTCAAAAGCTACGAGACTACTGGAGGAGACGCTCAAGTTACGAGAAGGTCCTACTTTAGGTCAACATTCAAGCTTGGAGATGTGCTGTACGAGCTTCTTCGTCTTTGCAACGCTATTCGGTTTGGGAGAACATTCTGCTGCTTGGTATCGCTTGCGTGAATCGATCACGCTTGCACACCTTTGTCGACTTCATGAACCTGCCGCGTACGAAGGTTTACCTAGGGATGAAGCGGAGAGAAGGCTGCGAATGTATTGGTTGCTGGCCATTACAGAGAGAGCATTTGCGATTCAACGCGGAATGCCGCTAATGTTGACGGGAAATCCTCGGGCATCCACTGCTTCTTTGCGTGCCAAGCTCGGCTTTAAAGAGCTGAGTGATTTCCCTGATTTGCAATTACGACTATTCGATCATGTGGATGAGAAATTTGTCGATTGTTGGAATCGAAAATGTCAAGGCCCTGGCTGTCCAAACTTTGATGCAGAACGAGCGATTGCACTGTGGCGATCGTTTACAGACGGTATCAACCAGCCTGGATCGCGTGAACGTTCTGCTACGGGTGAAGATAGGGAAGATGATGGAAGTGGTGCAGGAAATGAACATGGAACAAATACCTATCGTTCTTCTACCATCCCTGCAACGCCCGTTCAAAGAAGACAAGTACAAAGAGCAGATGTGGAAGTAACTCGACATTGGCTTTTGAACAGATTATGGCTCATAACTCTTAATCATGGCCTTCTCAGTATTGATGCTCGTGATCCTCCATTGCGTGTCGATCACGCATTGCATGTTGCGCAATCTGTTTATGATGTTTGCGATGGTCTCTCACTGGCAGCGATGGAAGCACACGGGGTTGGTTTTACGTACAAATTGTTCGATATCGCTCAAACACTGGTACTGCTTTGCAAAGATGAAATGATTGCAGAGGCGATCAGTAAAGGCGGCGTAGGAGAACATTTGGAGAAGCAAACCACCAAAGCACACACCGGAGGCCGAGGACGCGCATCGGACCAACGTCACAACAATGAGGATATCAAATCTGAACAAAACAATGCCTCTTCAACGTCCAATAACGCCTATCCTTTGAATTTGTTCGGTGATGTGGTTGATCCTTCGATTATCAACGTGTTCAAAGGTCCTGCAAGTCTCAGACGAATAGTTTTGGGTATTTTGAATGAATATTTGACATTGTTCCAAAAGTTCAGAGGAGGAGATCATCCTTATTTGGAAAAGTTGGTGGAATTGATCAACGAATGTAAACAAGATTCGGATACGCCTGCAAGCAGTACGGCTTTGACTTCTGCCGGTGGTAATGGACCTGGCTCATTCACAAATCCGAACAGTATCGATGGACCTCACGTGGGCAACTTAGCCGGTACGAGCAGTCTTGATGAGCCGCATGCGAATATGACCGAAGGCAACAATAGCGTTGATACGTCTACAACCCATCACAGTCATCATTCGATGTCATTAGCTGGTCGAATTGGTTCCTAGCCAGCCATTCCGCCAAGACATTCCCTTCCCCTGGCTTCTGAATCTCTGTCAATCTGTTACTATACTCTTTTTTTTGGTATTGTTGTATCAATATTTGTTTCTTCGTTAGCAATTAAACTTTGTATCAGCTTAATCTCTTTGAGTTTATCTGGTTGACTATGCAGTACGTTGCATGCCAAGCTGAATCAAAGAATGATTAAAAAGTACGCTAAGAAAGATGAGGGAGGATACAAGAGTTGCGTTCTTATGCCTGCATTTTCAACTTCTATTTTACGCGCGTAAGATCGAGATAGACTAACATTCATGCAGAGCTACATTAAACCCGGAAGATTTTGAATTGAAAAAACACTTTCCCAATTGGGGTTAAAGTGCAATTATGCATACACTCCAGTTTCTTTGTGCAGTAGCGTATGATTTGCTACGCAGGCAGGTTATGTAGGCATGGAAAAGCAGCAACGCAAGCCAAAACGCCAAGCAAAGAGGAAGAAAAGATGTTCTTTCTTTCTAAACACACACATATCCAATAGAGAATGATCGATGCAGATCTTAATGTTCCTGATTCAAAGCTGCTGAGAACAAGAGATTAATAGGCATGCATACATTAACCGCATCCAAAAGAGGCAGTCCGGCATCTTATACGGCCTAATAAGCGTAATTAGATGCCGTACAGGGAATGTTGACCCGCAATCGAGATCTGAACAGATTAAACTTTTAACAACTTTGTTCATCACCATCATCACGACAAAGACGGACATTCATTCTTTTTTTATTACTTGTATCATCAAACGTGCACGCACGCAAGCATACCCTTCGTCAGGTTTTCACTCCTTCATTGAAAGATTTGCTGGTCAACTTTCCATTTGAAGTTCAACTCCATTCAACAACATCGACAAACACTCATTCAACAAACACACTCCTTTTAATAAACGATGCTCCAACAATCAAAGACGGCTCTTTTGAGCTTAATATGCTCTTCCCTACTTCTCAGCACAGTCACAGCACAAGATCCACTACCACAAATGTCAGGCGATGCATTAACGGCAAGTTCATTCGCCTATGTGATGCACAATGGACGTGGATTGGTTCATGATTTGTTAAATTCAGTTTCGGATGCACTACCATTACATCTCGGTAAAGATGTACCTATGCCTCCAACCGGATCGAATTTAGTTCAAATTACACCTTGTCAATCCACAAAAGCAACACTTCCAGTCTTTGTTTCCGATCAATGGAACGGTAGTTCATCAATCAAAAGCGCATATATAACCCAACATGGCGCTTCAAATGATCCAGATCAATATTTTAGTTATATTTATCCTTTTGTAGGAAAAGATTCATTAGTAATCGCTCCGGGATTCTACACGACTCACAGTCCAAAAGCACCAGATGGTTTCTATCAACCAAAAGTCAATCTTGCTTGGGCACATACCGGTGATCAATGGCCTGCGGGAAGAGATGCAATTTCGCCTAGAACCCTACTGAGATCTAGCAAACGATCCGCTTCCAACAGAAATGAGGCAAGAGAGACCGGACCGGAATGTTCTTCTTACGAAGCTTATGAAGCACTCTTGGCTAGATTGGACAACAAAGATCTTTATCCAAATCTATCAAAAGTTTACCTTGTTGGTCATTCTGGAGGTGCTAATATGATTTCTCGTTATTCACAATTGAACAATTATAACGGTCATTTGGATCTACGTTATATCGTAATCAATGCGGCCAATCAAGCTTATTTCAGTGATGCACGTCCATGGAAAGAATTTGATGAAAAAAACTGCAAAGAAGCATTTCAATATCCTTATCAATGGACAAAATCAGGTTCAAATATGCCTCGTTGGGTTTCGGCACGATTTGATTCTTTGGTTTCGGGTGCAAGAAGTACGAATGCAAAAGCAAAGAAGTTGTTTGATTCTTGGTCTGCGAAGGATGTTATGTTCTTGACAGGAAATGCCGATATTGAAACAACCGGAACACAAAGATGTACTTCAAAAGCTCAAGGTGGTCCATATCGCAGAGATAGAAATTACGCTTATTGGGCTTATACAAACTTATTGGCCGGAAGCAATGACAGCCCTTATCCAATCAAGGATTACTTTGGATATGGTAATTTGACCGATTCAGGCGCAAAGAGATTCAGCACAGGTTCTGCACCCACATTCAATCATCAATCATGCATCGTCAATGGTGTTGCACATGATGAGCCGGGAATCTTACGTAGCGCTTGTGGTCAAGCTGCACTCTTTTCCGATAATCTACCAGACGGTACAAACCCTCAAGATTCTCCATCTGGACTTTCATCAATGTTTGATGGTTTCCTGAATACCCCTTGAGATCTCCTCTCACATTATACACTCTTTTTTAGCCGCTCTTATTGATAGATTTTGCTGTCAACCTTGCTTGCACATTTGCAAAAGGGAATATATACATTACTCTTTTTTATTTTGTGTGCTTCTTCAATTCTTCTTTGAGGAATTCGTCCAATTCTCCACCGTTAAGAATAGAGTCTACTGGACCTTTACCTTTATGTTTGAATCCATGCTTGGCCAGACGAGCTGGTTTGGTGTAGGAATTATCCTTTCCGAACACTACTTGAGCATAGCAAGGTGCATATTCTGGCACGGTCTCCTTGATTAAGTTTTCAAGCGTCTTTTGGTCTTCGATCACTTTTGCATTTCCTTCAACGCCATGTTCTTTGAGCGTTTTGACAACTGCGTCAAAGATTTCTTTCCAGTAAATGACCTTTTCTTCTGCCGGGAAGAGATAATGAGAAGGTTGCTTTTGACCTGGCGTATGTGCTTCAAGTTCTTTGAGTAAGACCAAATATGCTTCTACGAGATCATGAACCCAAACACCATTCCATGCACCTTTGAAGCCTTCTGGCAAAGTGAATAAACCTTTCTTTAACATGGTAGTGGTCAACATTGGAATTTGAATACTGATTCGCTTCCAAGGTTCACTACCGATTCCGTAAATCAAAGGTGGCATCATGATAGTCGTGCTTGCATTGAACTCTTTCTCAGCTTCATCGTTGAAAAGTTTTTCACGTAAAGGTCCGTCTACATGACGATGATAAGCATCTGGTTGAATTCTACCGTTTTCCAACGTTTCATCTCCTTCTGCATCGGAAAGTGTTCTTTCTTCGATTGAAGTACCGGCTAATGATTTTGCCGACCAAGTAAGTTCATCATTTCCAGATGTTTGAATGTAAATGATCTTCTTGTTTTTATCTTTACGTTCTTTGATTCCGTCAACTACTGCGAATGCACTTGGAGCATCATCTGCTGTAGCTGTATGAATCACAATATCTGATTCTTGAACGGCTTTCTTGATCGTTGCAGCATCGTTTAATTCACCCAAAATTGGCTCGATACCCAGACTACGGAGTTCTTTTGCTTGTTCTTCTCTGCGTGTTAAGGCTCGTAAATTTAAATCTGGTCGAGTTTCCTTCAATCTGACAAGGAGAGAACCTCCAATGAAACCAGGTCCGATTAAGAACAAATTCTTCTTTTCGCCGCCAGACATGATGTTTGCGTTTGTGTCTTGTTATTTTTGCTTAAGATGATGGTGAAATAGAGAAAGGTATCGGACATGTTCTTCCTTCTATACTCTTTTGATGAACCCTTCTGGTTCCCCATGCTTTGTTTGTGGGCCTTATCGTCATTACCTCCACAGATGCATAAACTAGATTCGGTCATAAGCTATCTCCGATAAAGAGGTGGCAATAGTCGCGTTCTTCTCGGGCATAAAGAGGCCGGGGTATTCGTATGTATGCGTGCATTATCAACCAAGTCTTAATGGTGACCATCATCTAGAATAGTTATGTTATACTTTCTCAAATTGGCTGGTGCTTGGACCTTGAGGGTCCTTATACCCAAAGCAGAAGCCATCTTGAAGCCAAAACAAACCCAATCACCTCCAAAACCATATCGTACAATCTTTGTCGAACGATCTGCAAAAGTTCCCGGCAGTAGCAAACCAGATGGACAGCGAAGGATACGATGTGATATCTATATAGCAAAAGATCTCATTGATGGCCAACAACAAGATAAATCTGCTCCAGTTGTAGTAAATTTGCATGGATCTGGATTTGTTCTTCAAACGATGGGAGATGATGCATTATTTTGTCAACGTGTTGCTGATGGAATCAATGGGATCGTAGTTGATGTGGATTACGCAAAAGCACCTGAACTTCCATTCCCACATGCGAATTTGGACATAGATGCTGTAATGTCTTGGCTACAAGATCGTGATCAAAAGGATGCAGCTAGTAAAGAAACAATACCCGTCAGCAAAGCATTTGAGGTTGATGGACATCAGACTCCTTTACGCATTGATACGGGCAAAGTGGCATTGACAGGCTTCAGTTCGGGAGGCAATCTAGCATTGACAGCTTGTGTACGTGCAAAACAACGTGATGAGTTGGACAAGATCGCTGCAGTTGCATCATTTTATCCCTCTACAAATCTATCCGAATCACCATGGAAGAAGCCAAATGTCAAGCCTGAATCAGGTGCATCAGGCGGCGTACTCCCACCACCTCTGCGTAACTTTTTCTATTCATGTTATGTTCCAACGGACAAGCAAACTGGAAAAGATCCGACCTATCCACTTCGATCTTCATCTGTCATTTCACCGTTATATGCCAATGCTGATGAGTTCCCACAAAGTGTTTCAATCATCACATGCTCTGGTGATTCATTAGCACGAGAAGGTCGACAGATGGCCGAGCATATCGTGGCTGGACGTTCTCCCCCAAACGAATCTGCAAAACCGGCCAACTTTGGTCAAAAAGCTGATCCGCCGGCAGATGTACCTGATGTTGAACGTATTGCTGTTCAACAATCTATCGAACAAGATGGCGTGGTTTGGTGGGAAGCAAAAGGTCAAGGTCATGCATGGGATAAACTTACAAAGCCAGGATCTGAACCTGAAAAATTGAAAGAGGAGGCGTACGAACTTGTAATTGGAAGATTGCGTTCTGCTTTTGCGCTGTAGAGAGCGTTTGTGTCACATGTGTACTACCTATACCCGAATACACAAAACAATCGTTATTGTTGTTGTCTGCGAAATGATGCCCCGAGATTGTGCAAATCTATCTCTCAAATCATCTTTCATCTAAATCTTTCTTTTGGCTTCACTAAGGAGGATAGCAAGAAGAATATGTCTAGAATTGTCTTAATCATCGTTATAACTCTTCTGACAATACTTAGTGACGTGCTGTCTTCTGATAAATTGGTGAAACGAGCAGATGATCTCGTCCCAACTCACGGAGGCCAAAATGGACATACGCCGGCCAACATTCCGTATACAACCAACGGTGGATCACCACAAGATCGTAACCGTCCCACCAGAACGACGAATCGGCCGCCAGAATTACCAAGAGATCACCCGATACGGCCTCAGCCGCTTCCTCCGGTTCAGTACGAAGAAGATAAACCGAGTATGTGGCAACGTCTGACGGGAAAGAAGAGAAAAGCAGCATTGTCTCATGATCACGAAGCCAGTACGAGTGGAACAAAAGATGAAAGTGGTAATGAATCGTCACCGCCGCCAAGTCCTAAACGAGCCAGAGAAAAAAGTGAAATTGATAAATGGATAGATGATATTCATGATCAAAGAAGAAGACGAAGATATTCACAATCATGGAGACAAAACCAAGCAGAAGATGATCTTGTTGCCAAAGGACTTGTCACGGCAGTCGCGGCTGCTGGATATGGGGCGGTGAAAACGTATCAAGCAGGTAAGCGAATGATAAGTGATGTAAAAGACACTTGTGTTGGTGCTTGCCGACGCATACGTCAACGAATTCGAAGCGGTGGCATGGTGTTGAATGAACGGCCAAGGCAGAGCATTCAACGTTATCGACCAGCCAATACACCACGCAATGTAGTTTACGACAATCAATTGCGAGCACAAGAGAGGCTAGCAGAGATTAAAAGAAATCAAAACCAAGGTGTACATGGCACACGGGGCAATCTGCAACAACCTAGTACAGCTCAGCATCACCGCCATGACGTCAGAGATGCTGACAGTGATGTTAAGAAGACCGAAAAAGGCCGGAAACACATTACTGGTACGAAAAGTCTTGACAAGAAGAGTCCTACCGAGAGCATGTCACTCAATCTGACAGGACAAAATGATAACCGCGGCACTACTACCGGAACGCAAAGATCTAGAAGTGCGCCACCGGATTATAGACGGTATCGTAATAAGAGTCTGACTCGATCAAAATCTCTTCCACGGATGTCATGATACCCGTATCAATTTGTGTACATGTATTTGTGTATTATCATGAACGGCAGCATGTCTTCCCCACAGCCTCACAAACGGAAGCAACTGAGCTCGTATGCTACATAGAATTCTGTCAGCCCCGCTACGGAGTGACAGAATACGCAGTTTTATTATCAAATCCTTTTAGAGAACGTCTTTTCCCACTTCGCAATCTTATCCAAAGACAACAGTAATTTCAACCGTACATTGTGATTCACAACATGTGGAAATCAAACCAAATACTTTTCATCATCGTCATTTGTTTCCTTCTTATGCATAGCTTGCTTTCTCAAGCTAACTATCAAAGACATTTTATTAAACGTGCAGGCGAATTACAGCGCTCCGGGTCTTCTTCCAGTTTGGATCAACCTATAAACTCAGTGAATGCGATTCCTAATCATGTGATTGATAAAAACCAAGTCCAACGTCATAGACCTGCATTTGGAACATCTTCTTGGCCACCTGAACTACCTCGTTCATTTCATAATAAGCCATTTCATTTACCAAAAGTAAAGTATGAAGACCATAATTCTGCGACTCCTCCTAAATCAACGCGAAGCAAGAGTGAATTAGGCCAATCAAGTGAAGGATGGAAGCCCAAACAGCATTCCCAAAAGCAAAGTCAAATGAATCAATATGAGCAAAGTAAAGAATTTCATTCTGCTGCACAAACAATGATGCAAGATAATCGATGGGAAAGGGCTGGAAAACTTGCTCTTATTGCGGCAGGGTATGGAGCACTTAAGGCGTACGATAAATGTAAGGCTATAGCTAGCCATGTTCATAATCAATGTAACGCTGCTTACGGTCATGTTCGTCAAAGGTTCTCAAGGGGCGCAAGGGATTAGTAATCTGATCAAATGATCACAGTATTGTAATTTATGAAGTATATAGAACTCATTTTACGCATACTCGTTCGTGGCCCCGAAAAGATGTAATTGGTTGCAAGGGGAGTGAGGTATAAAGACATTTGTGAAAAATTCACTTCTGATTAGAATCGTATTCGTTCCTTCCTGCCACCGATTGGAGAAGCATATCATGAATATGAGCATGTTTTGAAAATTGGCTTCATACTCTTCGGTATTGAACGCAGTACTTTCGTTTCCGATCAATACAGACCTTTTATGGCAGAAACGAGCGAACGAATTAGCATTAAGGGCTGATACGGGCTCAATTTCAAGTGGGATAAGTGGCTATGCTCAACCAAGCGATCGATCCATCATCAGTGGTGTACAGAGAAGTATATGTTGGCCAGCCGAACTACCCAGACGTTATGCGTCACAACCGTTTGCGCTCCCGCCTGTGCAATATGAAGAAGATAAGAAAAGTGTGATAGGTACATTAAAACGTAAAAATCAGTCATCGACCTCAGAAGAGAGGCCAAAGTTGCAAAAGACCTTTTCCACCATCATCAAAGCGATTGATAAGCAACGCAATAAACCACAACGAATGCAATCGTTTGCGCAAGGTAGAGTAGAGGATGCGAAATGGGAAAAGATCTATTTCAGTGCGGCAACAGGAGCGGCTTTCGTGGCCAAGAAAGTGTATGATTCGAGTATAGTTGCAGCTAAAACAGCCAAAGAAAAATGCTTAAATGCTTGTGAAAGCTTTAAAAAGAGTACAAGCTTTGGAAGAGGATCAACGATGACCAAAGATACAAGTCTAAGCAAAAGTCAAAGTTTCAGCAAAAGTCAAAGTTTCAGCAAAAGTCAAAGTTTCAGCAAAAGTCAAAGGTTAAACAAAAGTCAAAGTCTAAGAAAAAGTCAAAGTTTCAGTAAAAGTCAAAGTATGAATAGAAGGAGAAAGCAGGGTAGATCGCTTCAGAAAAGAAATGTGATCTTACTTCGAAGAGCTGATTCAGAATCTCAAGGATCAAAGGAAGAGCAAGAGAAACAACCGAAAGACAAAAAGGGAAGCGGCCTCCAACCGAATCTATGGACAGACAATCCGGTAAAGATTTCACCAAAAGAAGAAGAGGAAATACAGGGATTCGAATAGGAAGAGAAGAACAGCAACCTCCTCTCCGCCAACAAACAATCAGTCGCCGTCGTCGTATCACAACCTCAAATTTGCGTAAAGGCGAAGTGGTAAAAAAGGTTCACAGACTTCGATACAGTACTAACCGACGCAGAACAAGAATATTACGCACAATTTTGGCACAATCACAGCCGTTAAACCCACCAAGGCGCCCTTCGAGACAGGCATCTTCACGTCAAACACAAACCTTACGCTCGCAAATAGCATATTCAAGTGATAGCAGCGTTTCAAGTGCTTTATCTAATGTTGGCTTGCAGAACCGGAATATAAATGATCCTCAAGCTCATCAACAACAAGACATTCCTTCAACCGGCAGTGGCTCTGGAACTTCATCGCCTAGCATCGATCCGTAAAATACACACAATTCTTCTTCGGGGAGTAGAGAATTGCTCAATGCATGCAGTATGCTACGCCTAAAGTTTTATATTTAAACAATCTTTCAATCGTTTTTCGGTACTTTTTGTAATATCTCTTCTTTCATGTTGAAAGTGTTCATTTTCCAGGTGCCCCTCCTTTGCTGTTTTTATGCTTTGTCTGAATTAGCACAAGCGCAAGTTTCATCAAACGAGGTTTGACACTTTACCAACCGCCAAATCCTAATGCCCAATCGTATGTACCAAATCCTAATCAGCAAACACCCGTCAACCAGGCTATTCGTATCCGTGAGCCTGTTGATAGACCGCCCGCCGAAATGCCTTAAACCCTCAACACATTAATAAAGTAGTGGAGATGCAAGCTTTTGGAATGCAAAAAGCGCCTATTGCGTACGATAGTGGTCAGAATGCCCCGTGTAAAGTTGATCATCTTTTTAAATACAGAATATTCCAATAAAAGCTCCTTTCACAGTCAATTTTTCACGCTTTCACCATTTTCGATATGATTTTATTCAAAATTCTCTTCACAATCTGTTTGTTTCGCTGCTGTTTAAGCTTAACAACGGCCCAGACGACCCAGACTGTAGTCAAAAGGGCTATCACACCTTATCAATTGCCAGACATTAATGGGCAAGCTCCCGATCCAGCATAACCAAATCAACAATTGCCTATCAACCAAGGTATCCGCATTCGTGAACCGGTTGATCGACCGCCAGAGTTGCCAAGAACACACCCTATTCAGCACAATGAACCGCCTCTACGCTATCAAGACGAAAGGCTAAGTACGTGGCAACGATTGAGAGGGAATAGAGGTAGTCAAGTTGACTCGAGTAAGGATAAAGGAAAGGAAAAAGTAGAAGAAAGTCCTTTGCCTAATTCGAAGAAGCGAAAGCAGCCTTCTTTGGACCATGAAGCTGGACCAAGCAGAACAAAAATACCAGAAGCAAAGAAGCAAAAAGGATTCTGGACAAGGGTAGCAGAAGCAGATTACGAACATCGTCGCTATAATTATGAAAGACAGAGAGACGAAGAATTAGCAGAAGCTTTGATACCTGTAGCAGGGGCGGGCATATATGGCGCCTATCTGGGTACCAAAGCGATCGTGAATGGCGTAAAGAAAGGCTGTAATGCAGCTTGCAGAGCAGCAAGAAATCAGGCGACTCGCTTGCGAGAACGAATCACTGGCACACCTTCATCATCGTTAACAAGAAAAAAATTTCGACATGAATTGAATTCATCGAATCGTCGTGAATTTACAATGAAAAATCGTCGATATCTTCAAATTCACCGCAAAAACGGTGCAGGTCCGACGTACGTTGATCGAGGACGTAATCGTAATCCTCAACATCTTGCACAAAATAGTGCAACATATCATGCTAATCGTTCTGCTGCTCGTGTACGGCCTCAAGTAGTACATCGTCCGCAGTATTCCTCCTCTAATCTTTCTACTTCCAGCGATGGGGCGGATAATTCTGCCAGTCAGCATAAAGGTCGCTCTGCTCACAGTTCATCTAATGATACTTCATCGGCCAACTCAGCTTCACTTTCTCGATCCGGCTCGATATCATCACGACGCAGAAGCCCAGGCCACGCCTGAGGCGGGGCAGCATCAAACGGCTCAAACTCTCCCCGACATTGCAATAAATGACTTCAAAGCGACCCGTCATTTGCTAACCTTGCCCCAAATGCTTGGTCTCGTTCAATACGTTTTTAAAGGAAATGCATATTGCGAAATGCAAAATGGCGAATACATGCATTACCTATTGCGTACACCAACTATCAGTCTGTAACGTCGAGATTTGATAGTATCTTTCATCTTCTCCTCTTCAACTTTCACTCTATTATTGTTTATTCACTGTAAAGATATTCATGTTCAAAGTCTTCTTACTTTGTTGTCTACTTTACAGTTGTTCTAGTAAGACTGCAATCAACAAAAGCTTTCGAATAGTTGGTTTAGACTTAACTCGATAACGCCATCCGAATCAATGATTTGCAGTAGCACTAATCAGTGTTATGTTGTCGACAGGAGGTCTGCTAATGATTACATACTCATTGATTCTTACGTAAAAGCATAGGACAAACTTGTGAAATGCAAAAAAGAAATGTGTAGGCTACCTGATGCATATAGCAGCACTATATAGCCCCGTCTGGCGTTGATCCATAATTCAAAGGCAAACAATCACAAACATCTTTTCATTTCGATCTGCCTTTGTGATTTGAACCATTACGAGAACCATGTTGTTTCTACTTCTGTTTTTGCATTGTCTTTACTTTCTGACTGCAACTAGCACAAGCGCACATGTAATGAAACGGGCTATCACGCCATACCAACCGCCAAATCCTAACGGTCAATCGCCTATGCCAAATCCGAATCAACAAACACCCGTCAATCAAGCTGTTCGTATTCGTGAGCATACTGATAGACCACCTGAGTTACCTCAAGCTCATCCAATTCAGCATCACCAACCTCCGCCTCGCTATGAAGACGAAAGGCCAAGTTTATGGCAAAGACTAAGGGGAAGTAGAGGCTCTAATCAAGATAAAGGAAAAGGAAAAATGAATGAGAAGGAAGAAGAGCAACAGTTAATCAAAAAGACAGGGAAAAGAAAGCATCCAGAAGCAGCAGCAGCAAACGATCATGAAGCTGGTACTAGCGGCACTAAACCACCGGAGGAGAAAAAGAAAAAAAGATTTTGGAGAGGGGTTTTGGAAAGTGATGGCCGTACCCGGTCTCGCTATCGGTCTCGCTATCGTACTAGAGCTCAACGTAAAAGGGATGCGGAAGCCGGAGAAGCCATCTTAGGTATCGTAGGGGCTGGTGTTTATGGCGCTTACAAGGGTGCAGAAGCAGTTGTGAAAGGCGTTTATAA